CCCCTTCGCATTGTACAGTTGTTCTTTTAAAGATAGCCCCTTCACATTGTGTGTGCAGTACTTAAGACCGCAGCTTGTGATGCCCTGGTTGGCTGTTTCGTAACACGTGACAAGTAGTCACATCACAAGGAGGGTGCACACCGTGGATGTGTTTTATCTAATTAGTTACGGTTCAAAGAGTTTTGGCCAGTCTACGTCATTAGTTACAAGCCAAATTAGGCGTCTATCGCCAGACGTACGTGTAGGCCAGGGGTCTCCAAACTACGGCCCGCGAGGTCCTCTCATCCGGCCCTCGGAGATATTTTTGTCCACGGAAAAAAATGTTTGTTGTAGGTGGCTTTGGAAAAATGCCACCCCAATGATATACCTAAAAAGAAACTCTGGCCCCCGAACTTATATTTGATAGTTAATGCGGCCCTCGGGCTGAAAAGATTGGAGACCCCTGGTGTAGGCCATCAAGATGTCTGCTGCTGTATTTGTTGTATCTTATGTAAGCCTGACTGGTGTGTACGGGCCGTCTGAACGCTGGCCTTCATGCATGGGTGAATGCGATGGCTCGCGGGGATGGAGGGTGGGGTGGGGAGGGGGTTGGCTGGTCGGAAACTGTTTACATCTGTGGCGGGTAAGGAGGGGGTGAATAAGAAATGTCCTCGGGGAATCGAAACATTTCATTTCACCAAGCCTTTAACTTGATCCATTGTTTGTCCACTTCTCCCCGATAGATTTGGTTCAAGCTTGATACGCGATCAGCATCTGACGAGCCATGCTAAGTAACATATAAGTAACACTATAAGTGGACAGTGCGCGCGCGCGCGCGCACACACACACACACACACACACACACACACACACACACACACACACACGCAAGTATCGGGGTAACTCTGTTTTATGATCGTTTGTGGGTCTATTTATAGATGTAAAAAAAACATAATTTATTAGATACAAAATATACGACCCACTCTTTTTATTGCTAAGATCTTTATAAATAAGCAGAAGCTTGAAGGTTTTTTTCTGTGTAAGCTGCAATAAGTTAAGTCAATCACACGACCAATATGTGGGCTACTGTTTTAAAAGCGCTTCACATGGATACTTTTCACAAGCCGGTAACCGTGACCGAATCAAGAACAACTCTTTGTCCAAAAACTGCAAAGGTAAACAACTCCACAGCAATCGGCGGGGGAAGAAGTTGGCTTATTCGCTCAGTGTGGATAAATCAACATATATCAATACAATAGCTTCATATATGACATGGAACCATCTTACACGAGCGTTCAGAACACAAAAAAACATTAGTTCTGCGACATAGCTAGACTTCCAAAATACCAAAAAAATAATCTCAAAACAAAAGAAATATTTTTTCGTCTTGAGTGGGTGACAGAGGCGTAGCGATCAATTCCTGCGCCCGGGAAGAACGATCAATTTTTGTGCTTCCCGTTTTACAATTTACATATTTTCACGTTAGCAACCCCTCCGGGGTTTAATGTACAACCTATTTTTTAAAAAAATTTAACTGTGATATAAGCAGAGTTTCTTCCAGGCATCTCTTCTAGGGTAGGGGGACGACACACCGCCCCCGAACGAAATGAAATTTATATAATTTATATAGAAAATATATACTTTTAACAGTGTCGTCGTCGTCCTCCCCCCCCCCCCCGCGAAGAAAGTCTACCCCCCCCCCGAAAATGTCAAAGTCTGGAAGAAACACTGGATATAACTGATGTAGACAACAGTTCAGTAATATCATAAAGTCAAGTTGTTGCCTATTTTATCCCGAACTTCGACTGTAATATTCAGTAATTCAGCTTTGGGGTCATCCATTTATGACGTCCACAATTTTTTTGGATTTTGGACCCCCCCCCCCCCCCGTCCACAAAAATCCACTTTTTTTCCTTATACAAGTCCATATGCGTCCACAAAAGTCAGATTTTTTCGGACCCCCCCCCCCCCCCCCGCGTGTGGACGTCATAAATGGATGACCCCTTATACTGAGCTTTTTTATCGTACCCAGTTTGGTGCCCCCACCCTCGCCTTCAAGGGTCGACGTCCAGCAGCCGTCCCGCCCTCCCTCCCACGCCTTTGGTGGGTCACTTAGTCCAGAGGGTTTCACACCAATGCTGGACACCAGGGCCAAACTTCTCTCAAACTTAATATCTTTAAAAAGTGTGACCTCTGACCTATACCAGAAGAGTTCACACCGCCAGGTGGCACTTGGTGGACACAACTTGATTCAAACTTTCAAAACAAAAGACTGCCTGTGACGTAGCCCACACACTGGCACTTAGCCTTGGATACGTGACGGCTATTCGTGCGGTTTGTGCTTTTTTTAGCAGCGCTTCGTGCTAACCAAACGTATTTCGGTGCCGTGTAAGTAAAGGTCAAGGCTGTAACAGTCATGATTACATCGGTTACTTAGTAGACTTTGGGAGCATTCAATTCACTGACACAATAGCAGCTGTTAAAAGTGCTCAGATAATTGCTGAATGCATTTCAGTTTATAAAGTTTTACTAAAGTAAAAGGGTAGTTTTTTTCTGCAGGGGCGGATTAAGATTTTTTTCTGTAAATTAAATAAGCCGGGAGTGATCTCCCCTAAACTTTCTCGAATATTTTTATATAAAATAACAGGGGATGGGAACTCGGGCTATAGACATGATTTTTAATCCATTTTAAATACTTAAAGTTTTAAAAATAGAATAAAATCTCGTAGACAAATTAATTGCACACCAAGTGAACGCGAAATAAAAAAGCGCATAATAGTGCGCAATATTATTAGTACTTTTAAAATTTACATTAGTTTTTTTAAAAAATCGGAAGTAGCGTAAATTACTACTTCCGGTCAACGGAAATTACTCAAAATTTAACAGAAGGTAGAGAATTAGATCTTTTACTTACATGTGAAATTTCATTTATCTATCTGAAATAGTACTCAAGTTATAGGCTTTTGAAAAATTCAAAGTAGAAAAAGTACCACTTCCGGTTATCGGAAATCGCTCAAAAGTTGATACGGATCTACGATTTTGATAAAATACTTATATATGAAATTTCATCAACCTAGCAGTAACGGTACTCAAGTTATCGTGTTTACACACGGACACACACACACACACACACACACACACACACACACACACAGACATACGGACATACGGACAAGATTGCAAAATTATGTTTTTCCGTATCAGTGAGGTGTAAAACGTCGAGATTTGTAAAAATCTCGATTTTTTTTTGCACGATTACAATACTTTCTCTATACTACGTATATACGAGAAAGTAAAAAAAAAAACAAATAAATTTAATATATATTTATTATATATAATTTAATTGAAATTTTGTTTGAAATTTTCTGAACTAAAGTGGTTTATATAACATTGAAGAGATCCGCTAAATGTGGATTGATTTTTACGAAATCTAGGACTATTGAAGTGAAGCACAAACATAGCATCAACTTGGTATAAAATGTGTACTCTACTAAGAAACCTCAGCCCACAACGCACACACAAACAACATTATCCAGGAGCCCGAGGCCTGCTTTATCGATAGGACTAAATATTTTATATTATAACTGTAAAAAACTCCGCTGTAGTCCCAAAAATTATGGCATGACGCCAGTACAACATTACCCCCCCCCCCCCTCCGCCTAATCTGTCTTCCCAGAGCATTGGTATTGCTTGATTTTTTTTTGCAGCGTTTCTTTCAGGCGTCTCTATGTGGGGGGGGGGGGGGGCACCACCCTCAGAGGCGTAGTGAGGGGGGTGGGACATATGTCCCCGGGCGCCGACCTTAGGGGGGCGCCAAATTGAAAGTTTGAGGGGGGTGCAAATAAAAAGTTCGAGGGGGGGGGGGCAAATCGAAAGTTTGTCCCCGGGCGCCGGGAAGGGTCGCTATGCCTCTGACCACCCCGATCGAAATATAATTTATATAAAAATATATTTTTATCAATGTGCCCCCCCCCCCCTTTGCCGGAGAAAAAAGTCTGAATGAAACACGGTGCATCAAACTGACTGACTCTTTAATTCATACTATACATAAAGTCATAGTATACGTAGACTAAGAGACCCTTATCGAATACCTCAGACTAAGAATGGATCAGCGACCGATATTTCTGTGTTATGATATAAGGGGAAATTCGGTTTCAGTGGAAGGAATGGGGGGGGGGGGAGATAGCAAAAACTGGCATAAGCTTTGAGAATTTTTCGCCCCAGTTTTAGGATTCGCTGTCAATGAATCAGTCCTTTGGAAAAAAAAATTAGGACATGGTCGGACCAATCAGAATGAAACAAGATGGGGAGGGGCGTGGCGCCCTCTGTCTGGAGATTAGGAGTGTAAATAAAAACAAATCTAAACTGTTCCAAAAGAAATTAACGGCTGAGGTTGTTTTTGTGTGAAGTACATATTTTATACCAGGTCAATGCTACTTTTAATTTTAATTCAAATAGCCGTAGATTTATGAACGTCAATTGACATTTACTGGACTTATCAATGTTATAAACCCTTTAAAGTACAGACATTTCTAAACGAAATTTTGTTGTTGTAATTGTGTAGTCCAGCATATCAGATCACTAAAAGAACATTCCGCCCATGACAAAATCCTTGCGTTGACTTCTGCACAAAGAACCACCTGACCTGTATATTATATTAACATATCGTCTGCTAGTGACTTTCAAACACAAACTGCCATTGTTCTTGTGATCTTCTAATTGGATGATGTAATTAGTCAGGCATGTCAAATGCAGAAAGGTAAACTGTATAATGTTTTATTTTAACCATTACTGCTATTGTCACCGATATATACCGTACCGCATTTAGTTTTCTCTAAAGAGACATGCCAGATTTTTTTACACTAAAGTTTAATTTAAATTTAACTGTTAAAATATACAAATCTTACATTAATTTTTTTGATGTTTGCAAAATTGTTAATAATACGTTAAACAATTGTTTTTTTAAAAATAATTTTTTAAAACAATGACGTTGTTTAGTGTATACACGGATAGATATGTTTTATTACATGTTTTAAATCAAATACTTTTTACCGCGAGTGATTTGATTTGATAAGATTGTAAACAAAAATCAATACAAAATATTATTTAACTAAGCTTACGATATGCCACAAGAAAACAGCTGGATATCCGACAATGGTGAGTGTATAGATGGGATGTGATCACATATGGTTATTGGTTAATGGTTATTGTTGTATTTTAGGTGTAAGCTATAATGGCCAGTCAGTACTACTTTTTATGATTTCAATGCTTCAATCTGATTTCCGAATGCTTCCATCTGATTTCCATCTGATTTCCGAATGCTTCCATCTGATTTCCATCTGATTTCCGAATGCTTCCATCTGATTTCCATCTGATTTCCGAATGCTTCCATCTGATTTCCGAATGCTTCCATCTGATTTCCGAATGCTTCCATCTGATTTCCGAAAGCTTCCATCTGATTTCCGAATGCTTCCATCTGATTTCCGAATGCTTCCATCTGATTTCCGAATGCTTCCATCTGATTTCCGAATGCTTCCATCTGATTTCCATCTGATGTCCTAATGCTTCCATCTGATTTCCTAATGTCTGTTAGGAATATTGAGCACCTTAAAAAAACACAATAATGTACTACGTGTCAACTTGTAATGCGCCATCAAGGACTACTGCTTTTCTCTTTGGGTTTGCTTCTTTGGCTTAATCCATCCTAGGTACTACAATAGCTGTTGATTTTGGAGTTGTCTCTTCTAGAAGCGTTGCTGTCCTCAGCTATTGAGCCTCATCTGACCGAGGGTTCGAACCATTCATTCTTTCCGACATTTGGAGAAATAAGTGAAAGAAACACTGGTTCGAACGCAGGAGCTTTACCAAGATATTGGACTTAGGGCTTGATTATAACTATCTATTAATACTCTTAAAACCAAATAATACTCTTCGATTGACTTCATTACAAGTTTCTCTTAAAACATCAAAGATGTGTCATCACCCCCCCCCCCCCCCCACCGATGTATCAGTTGATAGAACGATGTGGGATGTAGCACAGACAAAAAAACACACACATAGACAGCTGTGTTGAACCAAGCACAGTGTGAAGATTTAGAGCCTTATAAAAGCCAGGCAGGACCATGCACCGCCCGGTTAAGATAGCCGGCTATAAATTATTGGTTAGCGAACTTTTTCCAAAAAAATAATTTACCACTTGGCCATTATGGTGTCTGGTTAGTAAGTAAAGTTTTCTTTCAAACCTGACGGTCTACGGGACAAGTAAAATAGAGCTCACATGTTTCTGTGACCTCGGCATATGAAGGGATAGTGTGGTCAGCACTATGCCCAGCCGTCTTTACAGTCAAGCTCTCTACCGCTAGACCACTTCGTCCCTGATGCCTGGTTAGACTTAGGATCATTGTGGTACTACAGCAATGACACATCTGGCAAATCTGTTGAGCTAGTCCAGATTTTAGGTGGCTAGATTTTGGCTTCTTTTCCCTTTGTTAGAATGTAAAATGACTTTGCCGTAAAATAAAAATAAATATTTCATTACATATGTGATGTAATATATAAAAAGCGAAGCATACATCATCCAAATATCTACCAACACTATACGTGGGGAATAAACAACAACGAAATGAATAGCTATTGAAATGCAAAAGAAAGATCAGTGCAGACTGTGATAAAAACGAATTGTTTTTGTCATCTCGCCCTTTGATTGGTAGGCCTACCCTGAACCGTAGCCTCACTTCATTAGCCAATCCGTACCCCCCCCCCCCCCCCCGCAACCTAATAAAATAAGCATTTCTACATGTCACAGTGACCTCACTATTTGAATTTATTTATTTTTTCAACAGAAATACAAGGCGCAAGACTAATACCACGTGGGGGAAAAGAAGTTCTTTCCGGTTTCGATTTCCCAGTGTTTTACTTCGGAGGTCAAGGGTCATTCGTGGACACGTGCATGAGGGAAGAAGGCTACAGTATGTCGGAGTTTAAAGGTCAGGGGTCATTCGTGAACACTTGCTTAAGGGACGAGGGCTACAGTATGTCGGAGTTTAAAAAACCCAAGCGAGAAGACAAGTCAGCCCAAGATCTTAGCTTCGTTCTGCCTCGTTCTGGGGGTGACATGGAGCCTCGTTCTGGGGGTGACATGGAGCCTCGTTCCGGTGATTGCACAGAGCCAACGTGTGGAGGTAAATTAAAATCGGAATACAATTGTAACATTAAACTATTAGAAGTCTGTGTATGTCACTTAACGATCTAAGACAACTATAGTCAACAAATCAAGAATTAAATATAATAATGTAGTTAAATGTTACTTCTGTTAGCAGAGGCTCAAAACACTGAATCAGTCTGATTAAAAAAAACGAAACAAGGAAAACAATTAATCAAAATTCAGGTTGATCATCTGATTTCGGAAAGAAATTTTATAACGATACTGATTTTTTTTTGAAGTGGTTAGTGCTGGTATTCTGCTATTTTTAGAAACATTTTAAAATGGTTAGTACTGGTATTCTGTTTCTTTTTATAAACTTTTTTTTTTAAATTCACGACAATATCGACTCCCGTCGTGTCCGGAAATAGCCCGATGAAAACTAGTATGAAGATGTTTAATGAGGCTAATGTTAGGCTGATTAAATTACGCTACTTGATCTAATTTGACTACTGTAGTCGCTCTTATTATGTTAATTACAGACTGTCTCATTAGGCCACGGTTAGGTTACTGTTTTGATTTCTTCCATCCCCCCCCCCCCCCCAAAAATAAAAAAAATAAAAACAACTGACGTTTAATCACACACTCAACACGCAGTCAACCTAAGCGCTAAACATTCCACGACTAACATCAGAAACAGTTCTAAAAATGTAAGTATTGAGACGAAATAGTGGATGTCGTAATTTGCTGGTAATTATTGACTCATCTCTTTCAACAGCTTACCCAAGCGTGGCGACACCCGACACAATGGCCGACCTGCCAACCGTATCCAGCTCTGTCCCCGTCGATTACCCGCCCCAATCTCTCCCGGACAAACCGCTCTCGTCTGCTGGTCCGGACAATCCCAGCAATGACCGTGGACATGGGTTCTGGTACCTCGGCAACTCAGCCCCCAAACACTACAGACGTGACACATTGGCCTACCCCACTGGCGTCACCATCAGCGAACAGGACAGCGAGACAGACGTGGAGACAGCCATGAGCGTCGAGACAGATATCCCCACGGCTGACGTAGAAATTGACGGCGTGACCATTGTGCCATTCAAGAGAAGCGTGTCTCTGCTGGACAGCATATCCATGCCGTCCGGCTTCCCCCAGACCCGGCCCCGCATCCACATCCAGCTCATGCGTGCCAGGTCAATCAGCCAGCTGACAGTCAGTCAATATGACCAAACGAGCCTCAGTCTAGCAGACGACACGGCAAGTACAATAGAAGACTTGCCAAGCTTGTCTGCATCAAACCCGGATGTTTCAATTAAACGTTCGGGGTACTTGAAGAAAATAAAAACACTTTTTCGACCGAAATCCATGAAAAACGTGTCCAACTTGAGTGCTTCAAATGAAAATATAAATTCGACTTCAAATATTATCGCTGGGAAAAACATACGCAGAGTTAGATCTGTCTCACAGAGTTCTAGCAAAAACATTTTATCAGAAACTAAATCTAGAAATTCGGAATCGCCCGTTTCTTCAATAGAAAAGTCTGTCAAATTTGAACCAGACACGTCTGCCAGACTTTCGACCGCGCGCGGCAAAAACAAACCAGCACACGGTAAAGAGAAAGACAGCGACGATGAGGCTGAAGATGTAATATCTCGATGTGGCACAAAGCTGGAGAGAAGCTACTCGCTTGTTCGCTCAGACAGCCGAGACCGTAACACGGTTAACTTCACCAGGATTCCGAGCATGCGCAGACGCCACTGTGTTCTCGAGCTGCTCCACCACTTCACCACCAGCTACCCCCCAGATGACATGCAGGAGACCCACGTCATCAAAGAGGCCACCCACATCCAGCCCCTGGAGGGGGGAGAGAGTGTTGTCACAGACATACTCTCCAACAAAATTGTTCTCTTCGACGCCCGCGGCTTCCCTAAAGTGACGTTTGCCGTGGAGCCCGGGTCGGAGCCGTGGGCCACGTGCGTGACGCCGGACGGGGCGCTGGCCGTGACCTTGAAAAGACAGGGGTGTGTGTCACTGTGGTCCACTTCCGGTGAACCGATTAGAGAATTCGGACAAAACGAGTTGTCAGCTCCAACAGGTAGGCCTACATAGTAGCTGACTAAAATATAAATGTATCTTGGGCTGTGTACTTACAAAACTTCCACTTTAGGGGGGAGAAGAGGAAGGAGTTTGGGCTTAGCGAAGAGCCGTACTCTGTGTTATAACTTTACTCAGGTTACTAGAAGATTAAAATAATGCAGACTATTCACTGATACAACAAGGTGGGGAAGCGGGTGGGGAAGGGTGTGGGGCAAATGACTGGGTCAACTGTCTTTACCTTCTACATGAAGCCTATTTGTTCAAGTCACGTGATAATTAATAGTTCATCTAAGTGGGTGACCACATAGCAAAATAAACCCTTTTCTTTACCTCTACAATTTATACATAAAATTAGAACTTTCCACATTTTTCCATGGTATCTTTTGTCCTGATATATTTTGTCCGTGAGATATTTGTCCTTGGATCGCTTGTCCTGATATCTTTTGTCCTGAGATGATTTGTCATGGAACCCGTTTTAAATCTGTATTGCAGGTATACAGTGTGACGCCCTGGGACGTTTTGTGGTAGCAGACGAAGAGGCCAACACCGTGTGCATCTTCAACAAGCAGGGCGCATTGGTGACGGAGCTCTTCGCGCCCCTGGTGGCCACCAAAGAAAACCAGGTGCCGACAAACTCGCCCTTCGTCGCCACCTTCTTCAACCAACCACGCTACATCTGCGTCACCAAAGAAGGAAATTACGTCATCGCGGACTCGGCCAATCACAGCGTTAAAATTTTCGACCAATCCATGAACTTCACGAGACAGTTCGGTCAGTTTGGCCGATGCGACGGGCAGTTTAAATTTCCGTACGGCGTGGCTAGCGACGAGGCGGGCAACTTGTACGTGGCGGACCACTACAACAACCGAGTCTCGCTCTTCACGAAAAAAGGAGAGTTCGTGGAGCACCTGCTGACGTCACAGGACGGGGTTACCCGACCTTCGAGTATTGGTGTGTTGAACTCGAGGCTCTACGTCACACACGGGGGGCTCCGGGCCAATAAAATCTCGGTGTATAGGCTGAAGAAAACCCCGACAGAAGCGACCATTGGCTGATGCTTGTGTAGCTATTGGACAGAGTTGTGTTGGAAGTTAACAATTTAAACACTTGTGCAATGATAATAAAGATGTTCAGTGGATAATGCAGATTTATCACCCATACTGCATTGTTTGTAATAAAGACAATTATGACACGATACTAGATTCGTAGACGGAGATTTAGCCAAAAAAGAATTAATAGGCTGTGCGTAACGTGGAAACTTGGATCACAATGGCTCACATCATCACATGCAACAATAAAGTTAAACGATTTGGCTATGCTAAACGGCTAATTAAATTTTAAAAAAAAAGCACATCTAGCCTCTGTATCAAGTCGGTGGTACCAAAACCACGTGACCGAGTTATGGCCACGTGTTTGGCCGAGTTCTGGTCACGTGTCCTAGACCAGAGACGTGTTGCGCCCAGCATTTCATGGGTACACCAGCCTTGCCTGCAGACAACCCATCCCCACCGTGACAAATCAGAGTCTGTTGTCCTTTCCCTGTAACAACCAACCCAGTGAAAGATGAAACAAACACTGGACAATACACAATCTCTTTGTAATCACAGCGTGTGCATGACCAATTATTAATCTAATTTATACGCATAACATATTGTGCAAGTACCTAGTTTATGCGACCTTTGCATATATCAGTTTTTTGTTCACTCTTCCACCCAACCCAATAAAATGGGTTTTATGCCTAGCCATGCTTAAATAGTTTTGACAAGGGAATTAACCATTAAAAAGGGTGATAACTTCTCAATAAGGGAGTTCACTCTTCAAGAACTATAAAGAATCTATTATATATTATTTTAGATTCTAGTCTGGTTCTATTGTTTATACACATTTTGTTATAAAGAATCTATTATTAAAAGTTTTGTAAAACAAAATATTTACACTATCTTATCTTTTTATATTATTATTTAAAGATGACCAATTTAAAACCTACATTGGCTTGAGTACTTGTCAGTGAGGATGAGACAATGTGAAGGTCACTATACAGAAAGAAATACATTTTTAATGATAAGCCTTCAATATGAACGCCCTTAAGAAAATGAAGGGAAAAAAAACACAATAGTTTGATTTTAAAAATATATTTATTTATATATTGGTATACTATAAGTATAAGGTATAAAAACAAAGCAACATGTTTAGCACCATGATAAATAAATGAGATCAAAGCAGACATGTGAAATATATGAACAGGTAAAGTCCAGTAATATAATATATTTATGTTTAGTTACATTCAAAGATTTTTTGGTTTGATTTTGGTTAAAGGGAGAGCACTATGAAATTTACAGAAACCAACAGATAATCTAATTATATCCCCCTCAGTATGGAAGTCAAAAAAACTTTATCAGCCTTTTTAGTCATAATATAATTTAAGAGAAAAAGTAGCATCAAAAATTGGAAGGAGACTGAATGTAAAAATACTTCAGCCATTACAGTAAATAAATAATGATTTGTGACCAGTAAAAAACTACCCTTATGCTTATACAATGAAGTACAACTGTTTGAAGTATAGAGTAAATTAGTATTTCCATTGTTTTAATACATTTGTAAGGGACATAAAGAAATACAAGTATGAGAATTTAAATAAAAATAGAAAAATATATTTATTCTTAAAAATGTTTAATTTTTTTTATTAAGAACGATAAAATAAAACTGCTAATAATAAAAACACACAGTGCTTCTAACTTTGTTATTCTAACAGTAAAAAACAGCAGTGTTTATGTGATATTGTAGAACGCAGTCATGAAAAGAGAAATAAATAAATACAAATTTTAATATAAGGAATATTAAGTATATAATTACAATTACACTTAAATAACAAGTGCTATTTTAAATGCTTTTTACATTTTCAAGCTAAAATGTATTGATAAATATAATATAGGTGTAATAGGCCTATAATAATAGTTAAAATAGAATCCTAAATAATTTAATGTGTAGTTAACTAGTCACAGCCTTAATTTTCTTTGGTCACATCAAATCTCACAGATGACTTTCTGTGAAGTGTTGACACAGTAAAGTATTTCTCAGCATACTCGGAATGGACTTTCTCAAAACTGTGTCTCCCCACCATGTAACTGGACATAACGCAGGCCAGAAGGAGGCGGTCAAGTGTCATAAGGGGGTGGACCCACAACATGGCAGTAAATAAAACAACCCCAGGGTGTCTCATGCGGGTGTAGATCTCCATTAGAATAATGTGCTTAGCTAAAGGTTGGTTCAGTGAGTTGTGGTATCTATAAACCTAGTAAAAAAAAGGTATGAAAACTAAATTTTGAGCAGAGTATAAAGTGACAACATTGCAATTATAAAATACATTAGAAATGAACAAAATGGCACTTTTCATTGTTAAATAAAAAGTAAAATTACATTTTATATTTACTATGATAATGTTTAGCTGATCATACATAAATACTGAAACACTCTTTGGGGGAAAGGGTTTGGATTTGCTGTGATGTGTGATAAGGGATGAAGAAGTGTGGTCAAATGGTAGAGCGGTGGACTGCTATAGCAAGTCTAATTTGGATCCCCCAGGCTTGAGTCTGCAACAGGTTACTTGAGTTCACCCAACTCAGATGGGTACCTGACTCAATTTAGGGAAAATAAAGGTGGCTGGGCATTGTGCTGACCACATTTTTCCATTATATGTAGAGGTTTCTGCCTTAGGGACCATAAGGTATGAATGAGCACTTGAATATGATGAGGGAGTAATACATTAAGGTTGATATAATTCATGGATAAAAGGACTAATCCAAGACCAATTCTAGACATTAGCCTTTCTGTACATGCTTACTTGACTAATCCCAGACCAATTCTAGACATTAGCCTTTCTGTACATGCTTACCTGACTAATCCCAGACAAATCTCCAAAGTCTACCAGTAGAAGTTCCAACCCAAGCAGAAACCAGGCTAACACATGTAACAGGAAGAAGAAAAGCCACAAGAAGAACCTGCCTTGAGTGTCGATGAACCAGAGATATGTGTCAGGAATTGACTGCCATTGAAAAATTACAAACTGCATTGGAAAGAAAATACCATCTTGTTATGGTTACTATCATACAGTGAATTTTTTTCTATTTAGAGATTGGTGGAGAAATAATATTAAAGTAATAAATGCGAAAAGGGACAGAGTAGCCTAGCGGTAGAAAGCTACACTGCTAACTCGTAAGTCTCAAGTTCAAATCAGTAGACCATTCCTGAGTCCACCCAGCTCTGATGGGTACCTAACTCACATTAGGCAAAGTAAAGGCGGCTGGGCAGAGTGCTGATCACACTATCCCATCATATGCTGAGGTGACAGATACAGGTGATTACTACATCACTTGCCCCATACACCGTCAGGTTTGAAAAGGGAACTTTACTTTTTAATAAATGCAAATCATACACTAAAAAGCTGAAAATTAGTTAAAATTTACACATACATTATATTATATATTTCAGTGAATAAGAGTGAACAAAATAGTAAGATATGGACATAATCTCCAAAGAATGTCGAGCTAAAGGTCATTTTTAAAAAAGAAATTTTACCAGCAAAACAAAGCAGGTGCATGTGATGTAAATTAGCCTCTGGGATATGGTTATGTTCATCCAAGCCAGATTCTCTTTGAACCCCTGAGTTGCCATTAGACTATGTTGTACTATAAATCCAACAAGGAGCAAGAGATCCCATAGAAAACGTGACAGAACTGACGACTCTGCAATTATTCATAAGTGAGTTTTCAACAAAAAATCCTTAATAAAAAAACTATGATATTACATAGTAATAGTATAATTTACTATGATACTATAAAAGTATAACGGTAAACCTCCATTTTAGCATATTTTATTTGCCGCTTCATGTGCACCTCCGGTTGAGCATATTTTATTATAAACACAACCGGAACACACACAAACGTTAGGAAAACCATAGGATTAGAGCTAGATCTACTTATTTTTTTATGAATGTGAGTTTTACTTAGAAAAGGTAAAAAAAAAACAACATAAAAAAGCATTAATAAATAGCGTGTGATCGTCAGCAAGAGAAAAAATCTCTACATGGTCGAGGGTTCACCGTGAGTTCACAATGACTTAAATTATCAGCATGCGTCATAGCTCGGGCAATAGCTATTTAAAATTGTGTTTGGGGTTATTGTGAATTCATAAGTTTATTTATAGTATCATGTGGGGGAGATACTTGTAACAATACAAACTTAACTGCCTTGCAATTGTGAGTTACGTACTTCACCCATTGCCATGAAAATCCTAGATCTAACAGACACACGAACATAGCAGCACATTCAAGATTCCAAATTTGGATTTTTCTCAAGTTTTGACAAAAGCAAATTATCAAAAACTAAAACAAAAATTCATAAAGAAATAGATCTAAGCCCAATGTTTAATCAAATGTTTTCCCTAACGTTTTTGTGTTTCAGTTGTGTTTATAATAAATACGCTCAACTGGGGGGTGAATGTGAAGGGGGGAATACAATACGCTAAAATGCAGTTTTACCAAGTATAACTTAAATAACTACTTAACTAGATCTAAATCTAGTACTACACTAACTACTACAACTACTAACAACATTGAACATACCAACATTCCAGAAATGCAGGTATTGTTTTGACACAAACACTTGTAAATTTCCTACACTTACAACAACTAGACATAGTACAAAGAAGCATAGGAAATAATGGAAATATTTAATGAAATGTTTGGCAAAAGCTTTCATCATAATCATAATGGACTGTCGCGGACTCAGATACAGGTTGCCTTCTGTGTAAAACGAAACCAAACAATCTCAATGAATGGGTAGAAGAATAAAAAACCAGACTAGGGCCTTGTAGAAGTAAAATGTTTGGAAAACAGTACGCAGTTAACAGCAGTATAGAATCTAGAATTGTCTTGCTTAAAAATAACTAGATCTAGCTAGCTAAAATTGTATTTTTTTTTACAAAGATTTAACAAAAATATAGATTGTAGATTATAGATCCAGGTAAAATCTTAGTTTAGCGTCGTAAATTCGGCCAAAACTAGTAATGTGGGAGAGAGTGAATTAATGAATATGTCATTAAATATGAGTATATTTTCGCATATTTTGATAAAATATCATAGATAATTGAATAATAGATCACCATTGATGGTTAAATCAATTTAAATATCCTGAAATTAATTTTTATCAACCCTGTTCGAGATAGTAAATTTGCTATTAAAAACAGCAGCCATCTTAAGAAAATGTTATTGAGAGTAGCTTCCCTTTAATTTCTATTCATATGAAAATGTATTTAAATATGATCGTCTTGTTGTGTAGTCCGTATTACAAAGCATTTTTTTTTAAATGTGAATTTCCTAACAAACAACTTTATTAATTCTAGAAGCATTGTGAGATGCAACTTGTATCCATGTATTAAATCACGTTTTTTTTTTTACTAATGTTTATTTGATCTTACTATTACTAAATATTTGTGAGTTTTTTCTTATTGTTTGAATGTTCACTATTTCATTTCAGGTTTTTCTTTTCATCAATTAGTAATTCTATCGTAACTTATGACATATTTTTTTTACTTCTCTTTACCTTAATTAAACCCCAACCTCCGTCATATTTTTGTCGTCAATGTCACAACAAGTCATTATGTAAAAAATTACGCTTCACTCTGCCTTATCTAAGATAAATAATGTCACATATGATTTGCTACGGGAGTGAGTGAAGATTTGTGACGTCAACTCAGGCGGCTTTGCAATTTATGACGTGTCGGTCTCATGAAGGGAGGTGAACGGGGAAAAATACCTAGGTGGTTGATGGATAACCTCTATAATGCTTTGTTCAATCAAAATAACGATAAATAAGCATTAGTATACGTATACCTTGCTTAAAACGAATCATCAAATGTTGCAAGCCTGCTAGTTTAAGACATTCGGCAAAACGGCCGCAACACATTATCCCCGTCAAAAAGGCTTGCCACCAAATGCCTGCCGACGAATAAGCCGCGTCTAATTCTGGGCGTTAGGAATACGGCCATTAGCATGGGCCGCGTTAGAGCACCAGTAGGCTATCGCGCTTTGTAAGATGACGTAAATACTTAAATTCAATTTCGCTAAACTGCGCGAAAATTTAGTAATGTTCCATCGTTTGAGGAAATTTATTTTCTCGGACTTAAATTGAAATATCATGTTGACTGTCTGGCTCTTAATTTTCGAATATCACTTTTAATGTATCAAGATTCAGAACTATAATTTACTTTAATAAGTGTCATCTTATCGTTTATTGTGGTTTTTGTAAAGCGCAGGGCAGCTTCAAAATCGGACGGCCATCCTGTTTTCACCAAGCTTCTTTTGGAGCTAGTTCTATACGGTGAGAGCTAAGTTAATACATTTTTAAAGGGCCGAAAGTTTCAAGACAGCAAGCTTGCAGAAATAATTACGTACGTTTAAATGGACGAGTGATAGATGTGTTTAATGAACACCAACTTATGTAATCAAATTAATCGTCGCAAAAGCGTCAAAAAGGCAGTGCTTGTTGTTTTTTTTTTCTATAAAATTAGCCTAACGGTCGGCGGTACCGCTACATGACGTCACGTGCGAGCGTTAACTCGGTGACGATGTGCTAAGTGGGGGAATGAAAAAGGTGGGGTTCAAGAAATGCGAATCGGCAAGCTTTTTACATTTCTTGACTCCTTCTTAATAGTTCTTTCGTCCCCACTGAGAAAATGGATCACCAATGAATGACGCGTCATACTTCTACAGCTGGTCTTTCTCCCACAACCATCCCGTTTTCACGAAAAAAAAAAAAAAACCCGACCCGTCTGCAAAATCACATCGCTGAGTTCTATTCAACCTCTCCCCACCACAAATCACAATTTCTATCTGAAACAATATGTTCATATGTTTGCTCTGTAATAATGCACGCTGTCATTACTATCTTAAGAGCTACGTCATTTATGAGCGATCTAATATTGATTTGCTTACTGCAAATAAAGTGTTCAAAAGTTCGACCTCCCAACAATTGTTGTGGTCTTGGATTAAGTCTGATAAGTCTGATTTTTTTTGACGATTTTTACCCCCCCCCCTCCGTCACACGTCATCAGAAAAAGCCAACCCCCCCCACCCCCTAAAAGGACGTCACACCTCAGCCTACAACCCCCCTCAAAATTGCAGTTGAATTTTTTTTAAACAGCTATATTTTTCCAAAATCTTGTCTGAACTCTGTCAAAATAGAGTATTTTAATCAATTGTTATTACAATGTATTAAAACTGTTTTTTAAAACGCAAAATAACGTCTAAAATTCGTTTTCTAACATTGCTTTTTTAAAATGCAAAAGTGTGACGTCGCACCATCTAAACCTCCCCCTCATCACAAACGTCACAAAATTACGGACCCCCCTCCCCCCTACGAGTGTGACGTCATTTATGGACGACCACGGGATATATTAAAGCAATACAAAACAATCTTATTAAACCACAAAATCAACACAAAAGACATGCGAATAGACAATTTATTGTTTTTAAAACATGGCCGCTGCTTGTGTTTACTCATTGTTGTCTCGAACGGAGTAGTTTAAAGTTTATTCCAGGATATTTATGACTGATTTGGTCTTGGATTGTGATTTGTTATTCAATTATCTGTTATATTATGTAAAATATGACATAAATATGGCCAAATGAAAGAAATATTCATTAGTTACCTTCATCGCACATTACTAGCTACGTTGGAATTTACGACGCTAAACTAAGATTTTACCTAGATCCATCTTAATTGTATAAAAAACAAATTGGAGTTTTAAGAGAGACACAATTTTTCAATAAGGCCAGTAGATCTATAATAGATTAATAGCACAGAGATCTATCTAGATGTATTTCTAGCAGTAAAAATCTTAAACGTAAGTCTTCAAAATAAAAGAGTTACATATCTTGGTCATCCTAAAAAACAAAACAAAATATCACTTCCGACTCAGATTCAGGATTCTATGTCGTCTAGGAACTGTTGTTGAGTCAAAAGTACTAAGTAGGCAACTTACTAATCATTATTTACTTTTAATTTTATAACTTAAAAAGGCCAGTTTAGTCTATTAAACAAATTAAACATCACCAGTATACAAGGCCTAGCTCTAGTAGCTGGGGGCCTACTTGATATTTTATTTATTTATTATTTAGGCCCCCTATTTAAAAATTAATAAAATTAAAAATTATTAAAATTTAAAATAGATCTAGAAATCTAGATCTAGAATTATTAGATCTATCTAATATTCAAAATAGTATGATCTAATCATATCTAATCTCTAGTAATCTAGTGACAATCTACTCGAAGTCGATTTACAATTTTAATGAATTTTAGTTATACTTTTAGTAACAAGTTAACAAAACAATACAGATTGTAACGGTAAACGACTGTGTAACGGAGTGTAACGCGACTGTGCTACACTACTGACTACTACACTGAACTACATTATATCTAAACTACACACACTCACTACACCTGTGACACAGTACAGTACACTCAGAGTACACTGTACACAGAGAACAGGTGTACAGTAGTGTACAATGTCAATGTACACTAATGTACACTTACTTAGTGCAGTTACGCTTCTAGATCTACCTACACTACACTCGACTACACCAAGTTACATTTACAATTACAATGATTAGGCCTAGTCTACATAAAACCGCCTACATACATGTGAAACCCCAATATAAAAACAGCCTAAACTTATAGGCCTAGTATGATTGTATTAAGTATAGCATCAGAATATTCTGGAACTGTTTATTTGGTACTGTATAATTTTCAGAAGTAAACATTGAGGACTTAAACAACATTTTATTTAAAGTAGGTCTATACAGAATTAAAAACTTGTTTTTTATTCTCACTACTAGACGCTACTTATATTAATATTAGACTAATTAATAGGTGTTGTAAATTTGGTATTGACTATTTGTAGGCATTCGATTGTTTATTTGGGCATTGTTTATAGAAAAGAAAATGAAAACCCAAAATCACAAATTTACCAACAAACAATAAACTTTTTAAAGGAGGTAAACTGAATACCAATGAGTAAGACAAAAGACAAGTATAACTTTCTTGAATAATACTGAAGATAGTTAAATTATCTTATACATTAATGTTAAATTATATAGGCCTACTTTAATTTAGTATTGTTGTTAAAAACAATAGGCATACATCAATTTTGGTCTCATAAAATCAATAGTACTCCACTGACTAAAGATAATTTCCTTCAGCAGAAACCTTAACCATGATGGAAGAAGAAGAAGACACCCTGTTTGACCAAGAGACTCTGTTAGGGGATAAAGAAATTGCTTTCAATGAAAAAGCTTTATGGATGAGACGAATAATGAAAACCCTTGCTTTGACTATGTCATTTTTTTGCCTGGTAAGCAATAATATAAGTTTTTATAATTACAATCTGGCTCAATTAATAAGTCATAAGAATGGATAGAGTAGGTAGCCACACACTGCAACATGGTTTTCAAGCTTCATTAATATTTGGCAGCATAAAAACACTTTTCCTTAAGTGATACTTGCTTGTTAGAGTTTTAAAAGATGTATTGTGTCGGTTTGTATTCTTTTTTCTCAAGTTTGTTTACTTTTTCAATATTTAACTTTGGTCGAATTTTTAAAAATTTGCCAAATAAGATCCCAGGGCAGATAATTTAGAGTTCCCCTGTTAATTTTATGTTGGCATTATGAAAAGATAGTGTGGTTAGCACTATACCTAGCCACCTTTATTTTCCCTAACGTGAGTTAGATACCCATCAGTATTTAAACAAATAATTTACATGGATCCTGTACTGCCGCCCCTGGTGCCTTAGCAATGACACTATTTTATATGTTTTACAGGGACTGTGTATTGCCATCCCTGGAGTTAATGTGATAACACTATATGTTTTACAGGGACTGTGTATTGCCATCCCTGGAGCCACTCTGATTGAGCTGGGTCAGTTAGTGCAGGATGATGTGGATCACATGTCGTACATCTTTACGGCCCGTTCTATCGGCTACTTCATCGGGTCGCTGGTGGGAGGGGTTCTGTTTGACTTCTTTGACCAGCAGATCTTGCTCTTCTACACGTTGTCAGCCACTGCTCTTGCTACGGCTGGCGTCCCCTGGTGTAACGCTCTACTTCCCCTGTCACTGTTGATCTGCATGCACGGCGTGGCTATTGGAATCTTGGACACTGGTAAGTTTTGTATCTTGATGCTATTGAATGCTTTAGTTGAGTGCCTGCCTCCCTGGTGCCACACCCATCTTGGTTAAGTAATGAATTAATCCACATTTTTGCGTGAGACTAAAGAAAAGACTACCAACACAAGAGTAAGGGGGGAAGATTATGTTTGTTTTATTGTAGTCAGCCTGCTATCTGCTTACAACATAGACTGGCCAGCACAGCCTTCCAGGCAACTCAATACTGCACCAGTTGTTCCATCTGTCACAGTGGTGACCCTTCTTTCTTGTGTCGTCACACAGACTCCAGGGTTGTTCATGGCCTGCCTTAGGGAATTTGGTGTAGCCAAGACTAATTATTTTATGGAAAATAATTCATACAAAGGCTCATAAACTGCTGCTTCTAAACATGTTAATTATGTTTATTCAGTCTTCCTAACCTCTATCAACCCAGTATTATTAAGATAACTGTTATGTTATAAAAAAGTACTTCAAATTATATTTAAAACATGTTTTTTTCATCATTCTTGAATGGATGAATTATAATTAACTTGACATTTTCTGTTATTTCAGGTGGAAATGTTTTCTGTTTAAAAATCTGGGGGAAGAAGAGTGCACCTTATGTGCAGCTCCTACATTTTGCTTTTGGAGTTGGAGCTTTCTTAGCTCCTCTCATTGCCAGCCCATTCCTGGCTGATTCATTTCTTCCTCAAAACTTGACGAAAGTTCCATTTAATTACGACCACGCCCTCAACGATCAGCTATCCCGGAACATCCGATCTTTTGATATCCCAAAGCACTTTAATAAGGATCTTGGAATTGGTCTTTTAACCAACTATAGAGAATCTGACATAGACACCATCAAATATGATGGGATACATTTGCAGAGACGTGAAGTGCTGGAGAACAACACCATGTTTAATTCTACAGACCTGAGCTTCGCAGAGAATGAAACCTCAGGTTTAGACAACAGCACCACAACTTTAACAACAACAACAACTTCAACAGAGAGGCCAAGAAAACCTGGCGTTGTTGATACATACGGTCTAACTGACAAGCACGCAGATGGTAGTTTCAATCAAGATCAGATCAAAAAGATAACGGAGGAAAAAAAAACAAACAATGAAGGTCAAGCACCTGTAGCACCTCCCACAGCCATGCCTAACAGCACTGTGTCTGTTTCACCCAGTACAGCTGTTCTATCCAGCAATGATTCAACCTTGACCATCAACCAAACAGATTCTAACGATACATTGATTATAGAACAAACAACTACACCTGACACAACCACATCAACATCCACTTCAACTACCACATCAACTACCACCACCACCACAACAACAACCACTACTACAACAACAGAATCACCCACTACAACCACAACCTCAACCACTGTAGCCATAGCAACATCTAAGACAGCTGGCAGAGTTGTCCCACCTGATGTTGAACCCAACAACTCCATCTCCAAACCTAGTGAGGCCACAGATGAAATCCCAACCAACAACACAAGAGACAATGGCATCCATAAGCCTAAGTCCTTGGATGAGAATTTCGTGGACTATGTTCTGGAAGGTTTCCGTAAATTTTCTAAGATTCAGTTTGCTTATTTAATCATCGGCCTGCTCCTGGCACTCAATGCTGGGACTTTTCTCTTCCTGTACTGCAACGACAGGCGTGCTAAATTTTCCCTGGCCGCCCCGTCTCATGATGATCTTATCAGGCAACCAGAGGCATTGCTGTACAAACTTTTAATTTTAGGATTGTTGTTCTTCTTCTTTGTGGTCTACACCGGCATGGAGGTTACTTTTGGAGGTCTGATTACCACATTTGCCGTGGACTACAGTAAAGGGAATTTCACCCCCACCCAGGGAGCCACAATGGCGGCACTGTTTTGGGGGTGTTTAGCTTTAGGCAGAGGAGTCTCTATCTTTATCGCCAGATTTTTTAAGCCCCCGTGCATGATTGTAGGGAACTTGTGCTTGACGGTGACCGGAGCTTTTTTCTTAAGTTTTGGTGTGTCCACAAACCCGGACACGCTGTGGTACGGCACGGTCATGTTTGGCCTGGGCATGTCCTCCATCTACCCGTCCGCCATATCCTGGGCTGACAACAACTACCCGCTGACCGGCAAAGCCACGGCTGTGTTTGTGGCGGGCTCGGGGATCGGGGAGATGACCATCCCAGTCCTCACTGGCCACTTGTATAAGAAAGTCAGCCGTATGTCGCTCATGTACGTGACCCTGACCCTGTCGTCGACATTGACTTTGCTGTATATGTGCCTGCAGGTTGTCGCCTGCAGGAAATCCAGAGGAAACAGGTCCCGTTCTGGCTTCATGCGCCTGCATAACTCCGACGACATGGCGGATTCGATGGATATGGATTCAGTCAGGCTGACGGATACATCTTCAAGAGGAGCGAGGAGGAGGAGAGACGTGAATGGTGAGAGGGAGGAGAGGTATAAACAAAATGGACGGTCTGAGGAGCAACAGAAACTCAATGGAGGGGAGTATGAGATCACAGAGTTCACCAAGTTGGTGGAGTTGAGTGACTAAACAAGAAAGGGAAATAACTTCAGGGTATGTTCTTGTGCTATTTATATAAATATTAAACAGCAGGTTCAGTACTGTTCAGTACTGTGTTGAAAGGAAATACAACAAGCTGTTTATTTTATGATTTACCTTTGTGCCCTGGTTGTTTGTCAGGATATCAACTAATATCAAACTATTTATTGTGCTACATGGTACTCAATTCTTATAGAAATTAAGTCGGCGTTTTTGCTTGATTTCCAGTTCAGGCTGAGTTCAAGCCATGTCTTGTTCAATTATCAATATGCTTTCTCAGTTATTTTCATTTTCATACAATTTTTACATATTATGTTTGACTATCTACAGCTTCACTATCTTTTGAATTTTATTAAAATGTTAAAGTAGTAATTTTTAGAACTTCCATATAGAAGATCTATTCACTCACAGAAAAGTGATCTTACTATCTAAATTTGACGTAAACAAAATCATTGTTGATTTTTAAATGGATTAAAAATGCCAAAATTCGGAATCGTTGAATTGTTCTAAACTAGTTAAGTTTTTGAAGTAGAGAAATTATTTGACATATAATGTCTTCTGTTAACACATACACCCATTGCTTATAGCATTATCTTTTTATTTTGTTCATTGTGTTTTTATTCATATATTTTCATTTGTACGTGTAGCATTTATCACATATGGGTAAATAAATATAAAACAAATGGGAGTCGCCATTTTGCTTTGAGGCATCGCCCCTCTCTGTTTGGAGTTAAAGCGAAAAACCAGTTGATGTAGTGTGGGACACTCATTGGGGTTTTTAGTTATTTCTACTTTTGTAATTACTTTTGTGAAGTTTCTTGAAAGCATAAGTTCTAAATGATTTCGTGTCTTTTAGTGGTGACACCTTATACCTTTAATTAAGAAACTTTGATACAAACAAGTCTCTCAAAAACAGATATTTATTTGAACTGAAAATGAACTAGAGATGTGGCTATCCATTTTTTGAACACCCCAAAGTTTGTGTGATATTGAACACCCTGCATTAATGTGACATTGGACACCCAGAGCTTTCAAGTAATTGTGGATTTTATTGTGTGTGTGCTTTGATTGTTTTCTGAGTGCTAAAATTTGATATGCAGATGTTTTCACTTTTCAATACATAGTGTTGGTTTGATGGTTAAAAGGTTGGTTTATTTAGCATGTTCCTTGGTACTTACAAAATTAACCCAGCATATTCACCAAACCATAAGCTTTCTACAATGTTGTTAGGAAAATTTTCTCTCGTAAATTATCACCAGAAAAACATTTTTTTTTTACATTTTTTTTAAAATGTACATTTTTTTCATTTTGAGCCTTGGTGCAAATTTTGTCTTTGATTTTTTTTATCTCAAAGTACACATCTAAATTAATCCTACGCCCTAAATTTTCCAGGAAATAATTAACTGTTGATCAATATTTATTTATTGATGGTGTACCATGTGGGAATATTCATATTAATGAATTTAATTTGTAGTAATTATTTTTTGACAAACAACTTTAGTTTTAAACTTAAACCATTTCATTTCTCATATTATATTGGCAGTATTAATTAGTATTATACACCAAAGTTTATATTACTAAAAACATTCAACTCCAGATTAAAAAAATACAATTACAAACCCAAGCTTACTTATGATAAGTCCTCTCCATGGGTTTTCAGTGACAAAATTACCCACCATATAATGTATTTGTTATAACCAATTTTATAATGTTACTTTGTCTCCATATTTCTTTCATATAATTTTAAAATCAAATGTTGTCACCTTCTACCAGCACTCATATCATAGTATGCTATTTATCACGAAGATATTTCTGTGCACATTTGCCCCAAACTGTTTCCTGTTGCCCCAGTGTTTTCCCTAGCTTGCACAATATTATTGGTGGTTTTTCTGATGTGCTGCACATGTCATTATTCTATTGGTGTAACGTGATTTGTAATATAGTAGATTTTGGCTAATGGACCAGAAAAAAATACCTTTACACAAATATAATACTGTCTACCTAGTTGGACACAATTTTAGGTTAATCAAAGCAGTAATTCTCAGAGCTAATAAGAAAAATCGGCAGACAAGGAGATGTCTTCAAAATGCTAGTCAGTTTCTTAAAAATATATTTTGGAAACTGCTAAGTAAAAGAATAATTACTCAAGGGAAATAATAAAACAGTGAATAACGATCTGAGTATGTCTTGCCTCCCTTGAATAAAAAAACCCTTGATAGTATTTGACAAAATGATGTTTTTAAAAACTTTTTTTAAAAACAGCATTCTTTATGTTATGTATGTGTATACATAAGTACTGTAAAGTAAATCCATCTTGTAATATGAGCATATATCTGTAGTAGTAGTTGGACTATCTGATTTTTGGTTGATGAGGTCCTATGTCCAGAATCTACTGAAGCTTTTTTGTCCTTCAACAGTATTTTTCTATAGATTTATCTTGTGTTTAGATTGTTTTGATAGCTTGAACTGGTTAAATAAGCAATGTTGATATTATGTGATATGTTGCACTATGGTGAAACAAGTTTTGCAAGTTTGGCCTGCATTGTACATCCATTGTTTTGTTGTTGCTAGTTTGTTCTATTAGAGACTTAAATATTTTTAAAACATTTTCTATCAGTTTTATTATTTTAATATTTGAAGGAAAATGTGAGCACACATAGCAATATCAAATAAATATATATATACAGTGTTGTTTCATTTGTGACAAAGTACACTGAATAGGTGTTGTAACTTTGATGGATTTTAAAAATCAATATTTAACAATTATAATGACAAAGTAAAACAATGTAATGAGGGTTACAGAGGTTTCTTTTTTATTTTACTTTTTTTTTTTGAGTGTACATTTTTCACCATTTACTTATTTGTATAAATATTAATTTAAAATGAATAGGGTGTAATCTTTTAAAATGTCTTCCTTATTTGCAGATTTGATTTTATAAATATTTATACTCTACTGGGTTCCAGAATATCTAAGTTTTTTTTGTTTGGCTAAAATTGGGATGATTTTTTATTGCCTGAACTATCACATCATGTTTATACATTTCCTGCTCTCCTAACTTTCTCCACTGATAGGCTTTACTATGTTTTAAGATAGTTTTGATACAATTGTACACATTTGATAAAAAAAATTGGATTCATAACTTCAACATTTGTTATCAATCAGAAGCAATATAGTATTTTATACTTGCAAATAAAATCAACTTCAGTCTGCCACTGATGTGTTTTACAGCAGATTTTACAAGTTTTAGACTATATAATTTAGCAGGGCAACCATTCCAGTTGCAACATTACTTCTATAAGTTTTTATTAATAATACTAGTATTATATAGTAATTACTTCAACTGCTTCATATATATATATATATATATATATATATGTATGTGGCGAAAGTCTCATAGGATTTTTATATAAAGTGATGTCATGATTGGTGGTTAGTCTAAATTAATGTTTGATATATGACACTGGCCAGATTTTCCTCACATTTCATATTTAGGTAACCATAACATTGTTATTAATTTATTTTAAAATTGTTACCATTTTATCGTAAATAATCTTTATTGTAAGTATATTATGCTCAATAAATTTGAATACATTATTGTTTTGTTAGTATGTATGTATAAGCAGTAATATGTACCATTATATATGTGGGTTGAACAAAAAACCAAAATGTCCTTCAAGAGAATAGATCCATTTATTCCATTTCATATTCACATACATACATGTAAACCATCTTTTTAGACAATGAAATGAACTAAAGTACAGCTATAAAACCAGTGAGATATTATGCAAGTAATAAAATAATTGTAAAATAAATAACTCAATAAATTAATTAAAATGGATGGACTCATCATAAAGTAAAATTCGTAATAGCATTTGTTACAGTAATCGGTACTATAGACTAAAATTTTTGTGGAAAAATTTTAGTAGTCAGTACAGATCTTTTAACTTTTAAAAACTGATTGTAAAAATATCAGTTATAATTCTGTGCTCAACAGTTTGCAATTTTTAAAAAATGTATTAAGTGATATTTTTCTAATATTAACTAATGCCATGGAGAGCAGCTGATAGAAAAATGTGCTGTGTTTGAGAAAAATGCATGAAATCAAAATGTAGAAGAGTAGAAACATCACAGGCTGTTGAATCAATATATACAAATGTCTAATACTTAAAAATACACAGTGCATGGGCTTTTTTTAATTCTTGACAATTGAAGATTTTATATTTCTCACTCTACCAGATCTAGTGAATACATTTAAATAAATCAATACAATTTTTCAACTATTTTCATAACTGAATTGATGAATAAAGTAAACAGCATAGGTTTTATTTCCAAACTAAATTATAAAAGGATTTTTATTATCAAAGAAATGCGTGCTTCCCCAGTTCAAATGATGTATCTCCCTAAACCAAAATTTTGTCACCACTAACTGCTATGAGCATTTAAATGTCCTCGGACGGAAGCAAGCAGTGAACAAGGAAAAAGAAATTCACTGTAAAAATAGTTATAAATACATTTGATTAAAAAAAATATTAAGTCATCAGATACTAGCTTCTGCATATTATAAATATTTATGCTATAAAAAATGATTATGCATTACCCATAGAAGTTTAAAACTAAATTGTTAATTTTAAAATCTTTTGAATCCAGAATAGCTAGCTTTCAATAATTTATAACTGATAGATTAAAAAAAAATCAAGTTTGTTAGTAGACCTTATCATAAAAAGTTTAATGAAAAGAAAACAAAGGCATCATAAAAAATAAATATACAAAACTCTTTATCACAACATACGCAGCTATATATAAACGCATAGGCAAATTTATACTAGAGCCTCCTCTAATTTTAGCTTTCTCTTACTGTTGACAATTCAGTACATAGCATATGGTTTCAAAAATTAAATATATAGCACAGTCACACTAAGATGACTGCCACTGTCTGGTGATTTACATCATCTTAGTCAAGCTATGCTTAGGTAAGCAGTTGAAGAGGTTATTTAATTCTATGTCATCATGGTGAATCCAACAAAAATCAGTAGTGACAATACATTTTTACTATCTTCGTAGATCAAATTTAAAAACTTGGTTGGGATATTTATTTCATACACTACTCAAACTGCCTTAATGTTGACTCACTAGATCAATGAACATTATCCTTGTTGTGGTATGAAATGATTATAAAAGTGAAAAACAACAAGTCAGCAGATTTGTAAGGTGGATAAGTGAATCACTTGGGTACTAGACCTCGAGACACTGGGTACTTTTGTTCTTCAACTCGTTTTGTTCCTGTTTTTGACCTGCAAGGTGACAAAAGTAAAAAGAAAACACTGCAACTATACACGGAGCTCAAAAGCAGGCAGATATATTTTTTTATTTGTTTTCTATACATACCAGGTTAGGTTTAAAAAGTTTCACGCTGTTAAAAAATTTTAGAGACTAACCTTGAGCTTTTCTTTTTGGCTGAGGACTTGGAGCTGAACATACTGAAAAGTACATTTAAAAAATAACCTTAATACCTGGTGGTTAACTCAAGAAATGGTAATGTGAGTAACTAAACAAAAAAAAAAAAACTTCATAAAAATTAACGTCTGGAGATTATCATATTTAACAGCAAACATTGCCTCTCAACCAGATTATTTAGAAAGTAATTTCCCAAAATATTCAGGTATTCTGTAAAAGATGCCATCACCTACAACGATCTTTTGCTAGTAAGGAAATGAAAGTAAAAAAAAAAACCCCAGCAAATAACCAAAACATTTCTGATCACAAGAAATGATCAACATCTAAACAAAAGTATAAACTGCATCAAACCAACAGTACCTGCCATTGATCTCTATATCATCCTCATCTTGTAAGGCAGCGTCTAGAGCAGCTTGGACCCTGGGGGCCACCGCTGGTCCCTCATAATCTCTTGTTGTCCTATTGGGCATGTCCAGCTCAATTTGCAAAATATTTTCAGCCTGAAGAGGGTCATGACATTTTTAAAAAAACAGACTAAACAAGATACACAAGAATTATCATGGAAGAAACAAAATTGTCTAAATCAGGTTTTATATTTGAAAAGGACCTCAGAGAAAACAAGTGCCTTGTTCTTAAGAATAAAATTTGAACACACATTGGGATAAAATAATAAAGTAGTATTTACATTAATTTACATGACAATAGTGTCTAAGTAATAGACAAATATAAGATGATTATTGAAAGCTACATATTGATTTAATAGCTTATATGGGCAGATAATATAGAGATTAATTATATATTTAACATCAGTATTTGGGAGGATTATTATAAGCAATATGCCCAATCACCAAATAAAACAGTGATGAATCATGTTGCTGTAGTTGCTTCCCATGACAGTCACCAAATTAAACACTAACAAACCTTGTAACGAGGGTTGCCTCCCATAGCAGCAGCAACTCTAGCAAATTCAGAAATTGGTCGTCTGTTTCCCACAGCAGATGTGGGACGCTTTGCCATTGTTTCAGCACTATAAGCAAAAGGGAAAAAATGAGCTAAAATAAAAAATGTACAATCTAAAATTTAATAAACCAGCAATGTAACAAAACTCACTTATTGCAGTTTAAAAAAAAAAAATTGAAATGGAACAAACTTTTTATTGGCTAAAGGCTTAAGCTTCCAAGTATCCTCATCCTCATCAAAGTATGCTCTGTTCTGAATTTTTACTTTATCTTCCGTTGGAATAAAGTTCTCTATAATCAGCATTCTGAACACATATTAAAAGAAACAAAATTAAAATGTACAATATTTTTTAAAACAAAAATAAGACTGCATGTATTTTAGCTAACCTTTTTCCAATGATGGACTAAATAAAATTACTGTAAAGAATTCATAAGTGATAAAAATGCCTCCAATATAATTCTAAGAAAGAACCTGGTAACATACTTAAGCTTGAGTTCTCTGGTCAGCTCATTCTGCGTCTGCTCTAAATCCTGACGCTCCTTAGTGTATTCTTCCTGGATGTCCTGTATCTCTTGACGGGTGGCTTGGAGTTTGTTGAACAGCTGGAAACAATGAAATCACATATAGTTAAATGGTCTAGAAATAATGGACTCAGGATACAACTCATATTTTAGCATCTAGTAAAATTGAAACTCTTTTTACTTTTTTGTTACATACTATACAAGAAAATATTTATGAAACATTTCTTACATTTTTATTTTTATTGTATTTTGTACTTATTCAGCAAGTTGATTTAAATGCATGTGGTAGTCTCACTATTTAAAAAAAAAGTTTCATCTAATTTTACCAGCAAGCACATTTTGCTGTGTTTGAAATACAACGTACCTTCTTAAGTTTTTTGGTTTTGACATCCACCTCTTGTTGCAGTGACTGGTAAGTCTCTCTAAACTCTACAGCAGTTTCCTCCTTCTCTTCCAGTTTCTGCTGCATCTCTCGCTCTTTGCGCTGAAATAAACAATAATAGAAGACAGATAGTTGGCATTGAAATAAACAATATCAGATAGTTGACATTGAAATAAACAATAACAGATAACAGAGAGTTAGCACTTACTCCTTTTAAAACTGTTTACTAAGATAAAGGACTAGAAATCAAAGCTTAAAATACAAACACCTTAAGAATGGCTGTTCTGGCAATGTGAGATTACGTTTATTTCCATACAATAAAATGTACCTGCTGTTCTGACAATGTGAGATTATGTTTACATTCATACAATAAAATGTACCTGCTGTTCTGGCAATGTGAGATTATGTTTATTTCCATACAATAAAATGTACCTGCTGTTCAGCTATTTCTCTACGTCTTTGCTCCAGAGCCCTTTGTTGCTCGTTTGTGTGGTCAACAATTGTCTTCCCTCCAACCAGCAGCTTACTCTCCATGGCCTGGCATTGATTCAAGCAATAACAGTTTACAACAATAAACTTGTCTTTCTTGGCTTATATAAAAAAAACTAGAAACTAAGGGATTAATGCTGTAAACAAGTTCCAGTTTTGGAGAGCTAAGTAAAGAGTTACTTGAGGTAAAAAAAATGCTTCTTATAATGAAAAAGTCACTAAAATATCAGAATATTTTCGAACAATTCATTTATCCGAATTTTAAATGTGATCATTGTGTAATATCCTTCAAAGAGCTTGCACTGATTGCGTTAAACATTTGTAATGTCCTTCAAAGAGCTTGCACTAACTGACCTTGATCTTGGTCGCCAGAACATCCCTCTGTTCCCTCTCTTGTTGTAGTCTGTTCTCTTTCTCCCCTAGTTCATTCAGAAGTTTTTCTTTCTCCTACAAGAAACATTTGGGACATACTTTAATCTGCTGACAAGCAATATTCATACTGGTAGGAAATAAGAACATATTATAAAATATAAAAAAAACAACTGAAATTAGAAAAACAAATGCATTAATAGCAAATACTTTGGATAAAAGCATTTTCATTTGTTTTATTTACTAAAAAATTATTTTAAAATGACAGAAGATATACTTCAAATAAGGGTCTGATTACCTCAGCTATAAGGGTTTGATGAAATCAGCTATAAGGGTCTGATTACCTCAGCAATAAGGGTGTGATTACTTCAGCTATAAGGGTCTGATTACCTCAGCTATAAGGGTCTGATTACCTCAGCAATAAGGGTCTGATTACCTCAGCTATAAGGGTCTGATTACCTCAGCTATAAGGGTCTGATTACCTCAGCTATAAGGGTCTGATTACCTCAGGTATAAGCATCTGATTACCTCAGCTATAAGGGTCTGATTACCTCAGCTATAAGGGTCTGATTACCTCAGCTATAAGGGTCTGATTACCTCAGGTATAAGCATCTGATTACCTCAGCTATAAAGGTCAGATTACCTCAGCTATAAGGGTCTGATTACCTCAGGTATAAGCATCTGATTACCTCAGCTATAAAGGTCAGATTACCTCAGCTATAAAGGTCTGATTACCTCAGCTATAAAGGTCTGATTACCTCAGCTATAAAGGTCAGATTACCTCAGCTATAAGGGTCTGATTACTAAGAATCTCCTCCTTCTCCTGCTCCAGTTTGGCCTGTTGCTCCCTCATGTAAACATCTGACTCATCTTCAGTACTTTCTTCTTCTTCATCCCCTTCATCATCCTCATCACCTTCAATTACTTGACCTGTTTAACAATAGATAACAGAAATAAAACTTTGGTCAAAATCAAAACACTACCTTAAATTTAAAATGTAGTAAAAAACCCTATCGATAGGCTAACAAATCATTTTGATCAGAAACCCACCTTCTCTTGTTCTTTTAGATCTTCTCTTCTTTTTCCTCTTTGGTCCACCTTTCCCTTCAAGCTGTGACTTCAACCTGTTAATGATAAGGCACATAATTCACAACATACAAGTGACGAATTTACTTTGTTTTAAAATGTTTGAACAATTAAAATACTTTTTTCAAAACCACACTTTATAAAATCATCATAGTGACAAACAGTCATGTTTTATAAAAAGCAATAATTTGGCAGTTTCACTCAGAAAATGATCTATAAAAATCCACCATGACTAGCTCATAATCAAGACACTAAACTTTCAACCAGAAATTTTTACAAAAAAGGCTGGCATATGGTAATCATTTCAAGACTACAAGATTATCAGCTATTACCTCATGATCTCTTCCTGGAACTCTCTAAGCAGAGCATCTTTAGGATCTTCATTAATTATAGGTTTGTTCTTGATATTCTTGGCACGGTTTGCATACCTGGTTAGGAATAAAAGATTCAATAATTAGGACATTTTTGAAAGCAAGTCATTCAAATTTAGTAAAAGTATTTCATCTTACAAATGTGGCCAGCAGAAATTTATAACATAAATAAAAATGTAATTAAATAACTAGTTGTGATGAAAAAAATCTGCGTGAAAACAAATTGAACACAACTGTAATGTAGTTCTAAGCATGAGGGTGTAATGATATACCTGAGTGTAGTCAGTGTCTCGTCGTAGTTGTAACTGGCTGGGCCTATGTTAGCCACCATCACAGTTCTTGCATTCCCACCAAGAGAATCTAGACAGGGAATACAGCAGATATAAACTTTACAAACATTTCATGTAGAATATCAAAGAGATAATTCATGGAATCAAACATTGGAACTGAGAAGATCTATCAGAGATGATAGTAGAACCAACTGATAAAATGAAAGATGCTTTTTACAACTGAACCTGTTCCTGTAGTTTAGTAGGACATTCTCTAGCGCTATTCAAATATAGTTAGTAAAAAACCAGGTAAAAAAAAACAGTGAGTCTAGGAATAAAAAAGTATTGGGTGATCAGCCTTAGCCACTTTAACCTTTCCCTTCAGAGCTAGGCAGAAACAAGGACATACAATGGATTTAAGTCCAAGAACTATAATCAAGACATAAATTAGCTAAGGAGTGCTCTATCATTCTACCCATCATTTATTGCACTCTGCTGGTGCTGTGAAGCTAAAAGACCTGACCTTGTAAGAGTCTGGTGAGCTTAGAGTCTCTGTATGGAATGTGTGTACTTTTCCCATCTACCAGCGCGGAGATGACGTTACCCAATGTGGACAGGGACAGGTTGATCTTGGTCGCTTCCTTTAACCTTTCACCCTGAAACAAATGCATGCAAATAAACAACATGAAATACCAACCTAGATTACTACACTAAACATCTAATTTAGTCCTGGTGAAAATACTAGAAGAAAAATACAACCAAAGATTGATTCAGCTTATGATTGGAAAAGTAGTGGGAAATAAAGAAGTTTTTTTGGGATGATGTAACTGGCTAAAAATGAACCCTGAAATGTTATTGTTGCAGCTGCCTGCTCCACAAAGGGTTAATGAGATGTATTTTCTAATAATCCACACCCAACAAGTTTAACCAGAGAAAATGAAGGACACAACACCAGATGTTTACTTACCATGGCCAGTTTTACTCTGTCTCCCACTGAACCACACAACACCACATGTCTCCCACACAACACCACATCTGTCTCCCACACAACACCACATGTCTCCCACACAACACCACATCTGTCTCCCACACAACACCACATGTTTTCTTAACGTGGCCAGTTTTACTGTCTCCCAATTAACCACGCAACACAACATCTGTCTCCTACTTAACCACACAACACCACAACTGTTTCCCACTTAACCACACAACACCACAACTGTTTCCCACTTAACCACACAACACAACATCTGTCAACCACACAACACCACATCTGTCTCCCACTTAACCACACAACACAACATCTGTGAACCACACAACACCACATCTGTCTCCCACACAACACCACATGTCTCCCACACAACACCACATGTCTCCCACACAACACCACATGTCTCCCACACAACACCACATGTCTCCCACACAACACCACATGTCTCCCACACAACACCACATGTCTCCCACACAACACCACATGTCTCCCACACAACACCACATGTTTACTTACCGTGGCCCCAGTTTTACTCTGCCTTTCACTGCCAGCCAGATCCACCATGTTAAGCTTGCCCACACGTATATGGTTCTCCCCATCCGCTCCTTCCTGTACCACACCAGAGAAAAACATGGCAGATAATATATATATATTTAAAGTGTAATCAAATATACGGTGCAGTATTAACACTGGCTATTGTAGCAACTAACCCTACAGCTACAGTGTCTTCAGTCACTGAAGACTTTACCTAGCACATGCAATACACTGTACTGATATAATACAAATAAGTTAAATGCATGAGTAAAATGCCATTTAAAACTGAAATAATGTACTGACCTCACTGCATTCAATGGTTATAATAAATATGGCATGTGACCTGGAGCTGTGCAGATTCATGTTTGTAGCCCTGCAGTAAAAAAAAAAGTTTACAGAAAACCTGCTTTTGAGAGTTTAGTACAAATATGCTAAAAGCTGATTGAATATAATTGGCTAAATAAACTATTAACATGGGTATTGCTTAGAAATAAAGCTTTATTTTAATACAGAGACAGTTGAACAAGATAATATAAAACAAAATATGAATCAAATCACTTACCCAACAGATCTGTTATTGTTACCCACATTCATGACATGTTCAATTTCTTTCACACTTTTTGTCACAAAGGATGATAAATCCTAGCATAAATGAATACATGAGTTAATCATTCAATCGGCAGAATAGCATTATATAAGGCATTAGAAAAATGAGCTGAAAATTTGTCAGACTAAAGTGGTAAAATAAAGCATTAGAAAGTTCAGCTTACAATTCCCTCAATCACAAAAGAAGTAAAACATTTAGATTTTAAAAAATTATTTAAAATAAAATATGAGAAAAGTTTGCTGACCTTAACATAAACACCTGTGTCAGTTCTTTCCTTCAGCTCCAGCCTTTTGGATTGATCTTTTGAAAGCAAATCTCTGATTTCCTCCTGAGAAATAGAGTTTTATCATTTTAGCCCTGAATTTACAATACCCAACACACTAAAACTCTTTCAACTAATGAACGAAGGGTTATAGACATTTGTATACAAACATAGCACAATACAGGCACATGAAAATGAAAAAACATATAGACACATATACACGAACTAAGCAATATAGAATTTGTTTAGAAAATGAAAAAATGTGAGCACCCACCTGATATATCTCCAGGTAAGAGGCCCTGACTAAGTACTGTTGGTTCTGTGACTGGGAAATGTGTTGAAATATTTGCTCAAAGGAATTAGGAATCACTCCCCATTCCTCCCTGCTTGTTTTGAAACCTAAATAAACATTACCAATAAACAATTGTATTAAAAACAGTTTTCCTATGTTCTACTTGTAGAATAAGTGTAGATTATGATGGTACCATGAAAGGAATATTGTTTAAGAATTGCCTTCCATGCAAGTGTTAATGCTTGCATAATGCTAGTCACATGAGTAGTGTTGTTGGTTACCCACCTTGCATAGTATGTGTCTTCCCTGTGCCAGTCTGTCCATATGCAAAGATTGTTCCATTAAACCCTTTTAAAACAGATTCCACAAGTTCATAGAAAGTCTCATCGTACAGATCTCTCTGTTTGGAGCTAGAGTGAATAAATAAGTCAAAAGTTCAATTTTGTTTCACCTCATAATTTGTAACTTTTATAGATTTTACTTAGCATCACTTACTAATATTATAGTTCAAGGTGATGACGAAAAGATGAATTATTCTATATTACACAACATCTTGTTATTGAACATAATTATTCTAAATTTAATTACTTCCAGTCATAAACCGAGTCAAAAGTAAACTTTTTGGGAGGCTCTGATGAATTTGCTTTTGGCTGCTTCACTTCAATAACACCTTTCTTCACATCCATCTCTACAACCCTGAAAAAACCATTTGAGTTATCCGTCTTTAATCATTAACCCGAACTGTTGATATATGAAATCTTTATACAGCATGACCTGACTATATTAAAACAAGCTTTTTAGTGCAGTGTAGGCTAACATTTTCATTTTTGTAAATTTGAACTTATAAAGTATTACTGAAATAAGCTACTTCTATTTTCTGTCATCGTTATACAATTCTAATAATTGATTGTCACGAGGTATTACTTTACACAATATTTTCTTCTACTTGTTATTATTTATTACACGATGTCAAAGAATACTTTTTTTTTGTTTGACTAAAAAATTAGGAAAAGTCCTTTATAAAAAAACATTTCTAAGGTACTTGTTTATGTGTGATATTATTTAAAGTGGGACAGACTACTAACATTTATTTTATGCAAAGGATTGAAAAAAAAAATCACAAAGCCTTTAAAACTAAAGATTTAATAATAATATGATTAAGCTTTAACTATTTTACTGTCAGATTGTAGATTTTTATTGAAAACAGTAAAACTAAACCAGATTAACTGACCTTGTATGTCCATCTGCTATCTCTTTCTCCATCATAGGCCGACATCTTACAACCACCTTCACAGATTCTGACTTACTTGACTTGGACTAAACATTTTCAATGAGAAAATAAATAAAAGTTACTTCCTTTACACAAAGGTTTACTTCAAAATTTAAAAATTTAATTGACATTGGGCTACATGTATAAAACAATTTAATACAAGGTAAAAAATCATTTCAATAAGAAACTTGACCTAAGACAGTTCATTTAGATGAACTTACCATTGTTAATCACAGAAAAGTACCCTTTTCAAGTTACGATGTCAAAGTAGATGCGACATTTTCAAAATTGACTGCTGAAGAGTAAAACAGAGTAAAACAATTTTTTTTTTTAATGTTGTTGGTTAAAAAAAGCACCCTAATAATTAAAAACTTATCATAAAAATAAATTAACTTTAGATAGAGTGGAAATTATATTATATATATATATATATAATATAGGGCCTAATATAATATAAATATTTTATACTGACATTAAAAAAAATTAGTTAACATTAGGCCTATAAATAATAAACACTGAATAAAATGAAGGCCAGAAAAAAGAAAAAACAAGCTTGCATAGGTTATAAATATTATAAGGTTGTCTTGAAATGTCAGTACATTCCAATGTCTTGATTATCGTCTTGAAGTAAGTTACTTTTTTAAAAATAGTTAATTATTTTAGTCCCCTGGAATTTGGTGTTTTATTTAGGCCTACTTGGCAAACTATTAGGCCTACTATTTTTTAATATTCTTATCAAAATCCCTATTAGACTGGATCTAATGTCTGTCTAATGATTTAATGAGTTCTTGAGATGCATGCACCACATGTCTCCAAGACCGCGGGTCCCCAAATCCAAGTGAAGTACTAAGTTAATATAAGATTAAGTTAAATTATGTACTAATATATGTACTACTAATTATGGAAAAGGTCGGTAGCTGTGTAGTTTAAAAAAAACATTCTGTAGGCCTATTAATTTTAATAATATTAGGCCTATGATTTGGTCGATTTCAGTTTCGGTTAATGTTCGATGGAAGCTAATATAAGGCCTAATATTAGTAATATTGAATTTAATTCTTTAGGACTAAGACACTCACTAAGTTAAAGTCTTAAATAGTAGATCTAGTAAGTTTACTAGATCTACTTACTAAGTTATTAGTTAAAAAAATAAAGTTCAGGCCTAATGAGAATAACATAATGAGAATGACGTAATAAGAATTGCAACTAATTCAACTATCAGTGTGTGTGTAGTTAGTAATAGTTAGGGAGGCTCACTAACTTAAAAGCGTCCTTGGTTGCTAACCAGAACATGGCGTAAGGATCGGACCATGACTTCCGGCGAGTTTTTCGACTTAGTTCCAGAGACCTTCTTAGAATTACTTTTAAAAATGTTTATCACGAGTAAAATGGCGGGTTTTCACGTTATAAAAACATGCTATAGATGGCAAGGCTAAATATGCCAGAAAAGCATTTTCAGAAATTGCTTTGGGGAATGTAGGCTAAATTTAAAGTCGGTGTCATTCAAAATAATATAACTTTTTAAATATAGATCTCCCTATCACAAAATTGATTTCCCTAGTAAAGCATTATTAGTTTTATCATTCTATGAAAAAATAAATCAAATATCTTCAACCCTTTTTTTAATATGAGTGGCCAAAAAATGACAACCAAATTTTTTTTATTTTTTTGACCACGTGACCGCTATTTGAATGGATACGTTTACCTGGCATGGTTTTTTATTTTGCTCTTTTGTACAATAAAACATGTTATAAAATTAAAGAAATAAAAGAATTCAAACATCACTTCTGTCTTGTCTTTTTTAAAATTCTGTTCTGATGACATTCTCTTAATTTTTTTTCCTCTATAAATATATCCCGACGATAGACGGGCCAATTCTACTTTTAGGAACTCTCTTGTGAAAAAAAATTAGATCTATTTTACGGTCACTTAAAAAGTTAAACCTTTCAACTTTTAACCAGGTTGTCATGGATGATCCGTCATATCATAGCTGTGAGTGACAAAACATTTTAAAATTCAATAATTTAGCCTAAACTCGCTACAACCCCCAAATTAGTGCCTAGGGGATAAAGTATGGACGTTTTTTATTCAGTTGTCAAGTTTAAATTGAGAATTGAGTAGATTTCACATATAGTAAGAAAAACTAGTAATAGTTAGTTAGTTAGACTACTAGGCTACATCTAATCTTCCATAGATTAATAGTTAATAGTATAGTAGTATAGTAGAGATCTGGCTAGAATCTCTAGATACTAAGATGGGACTAGGCCCTAAACTGCCCTAAAGCTTTTTTTTTTTAAATTATTATTTTTTTTTTGTTTTTGATATTTGCAAATTTTACTTTTTTTTTTACACACCATGACTTTTAATTTTAGTTTTAGCCTGTCCGACACTAGAGACGTCTTAATGAAAAGTAGATTATTTGGACAACTTATTATGTCAATAAAATGAGTTTTCTATAAGTACAAAAATTAATACATTTAAAAATACAAATTATTAAACAATCTGATATACGAACATCAAAAAGCTCCGTTTCCAACTGAGTTGTTGAAAACATAAACAGATAACAAACTTATTGGCCTATCAATGAAACAGAAGTATTTTATCGTCACTTCCTTTAGAATAAAATAATTTCACTTACCAAAGATTTCGCCTTTTGAAGGATGACACATTTGTCTACCCTTTTTAAAAAAAGTTTCAAACTTAAACTTTTATTAACTTTAATAAAGCTATAATGATATATTTCTATATTTTCGCTTGTCTTAATTAGTTTGTAAAGCCTACACTTCTAGGGTTCTTTTAACAAAGCAACTAAGAACAATTACCAATTATTACAGTGTCAAGAAAAGTACATGTCTATTTGAGACTTTTGTCACTATATTTGATTGAAACTTCGTTTTGTTTTAGCCAACAATTTAATTAGATCTGGATTTATTATCTAATTAGAATAGATTACTGTCGACGAGCTAGAAAGTTAAAAAGTAGTGGAAACAAAGCCAGGAATATTATGATAGTCGCACTGGTGTTTGTTTAGGGGGGGGGTGGTCATCAATACACGACGCTTAAATACACTGGAGGGGGTGGGGATTGTATGGTATGATTAAAAAGTAATGTGTAAACTTAAATTTTTTCAGTTAATTTCGTTTTGAAGCATTTGTTTTTGTAGATTGTAATAAACACTATCTGAATATGTTGAATTCTGACGTATTGGGAGGGGTGGAGTAAAAATATAGGTGAATGAGTTATTGTCAGTTATAAATAAGATATAGGAATGCTAACGTATGTCAGCTGTAATCTGACATAGGCCTACAATTTGATTGAGAGATAGTTCTTATTAGATATTAAATACACCATTCTTAAACTTATACGGTCCAACTAAATGTAGGTATTTAGCTTTTTTTTTTACGGAATTTATATGTTATTGCTCATTAGACTAGTTAAAAATCAAATTTTCTCACTATCAGTGCGTTAAAAAATAATTAATCCATTGTTTTATTGATATTATTTTTAACATAACTGATCCTTTTATTTTGTATAGACAAGCCGTGAAACATTTTTCTAAAGGCTGCATCTGTTTGTAGGTGTACACTAGGCTAGATGATCCAAAGAACTCTACTTCATCTGTCATTGTGACCACAAGGTCTAAAATAGTGGCCATGTGGTCTAAAATTGTGGTAATGTTCAAGTTTCCTTTTAAATTTGGTTGAGTGACAGCCGCTAAATAAACTAAATATGCTTCCATTCATGCGTAAGTTGCTGAACTTTTTTCTTAAGAGCTTTACAAAGACTTGAATGGCAAACAAACTCAAATAAATCAAACAAATGCATTTTTCATGATTGCAAAAACTTTACTTCTTCCAAGCAGAACAAAACACAAACAAGAACTACACTTAACTTGACATTTGTATCGTAAGCCTAAGTGATATGTTTCTAATGTGTAAAGGTATAGACAATGGGGGAGCGGCCATTCACCTGAGAATTTTTTATTTTTACTAATATTGCGTCTCTTTGGAAATGTACACAGATGAAACAACAACATTGAAAGGGTGTTGAAAATGAAGTGAAATATTGGCGTCTATTTATGCATTCGCCGCTCTACCTTGACCCCAAAAACCCTGGCTACGCCCCTGACTTAAAGATATATATCGTAATATGAAAATTTTAAAATATTAACGAAATGTTAAAAAAAAATGAGAAAAGGTGAAATATTAAAAAATAATCATAATTTCAAATTGTTCTGTTGAAGACATGAATTTTTTCCACTACTCAACATGGCCAAAAAGCATTCTTTTTTGTTATGCGCATTTGGGCCAATGCGCAGGATCGGTGACCTGATTACAGGCAGCCCAGACGCAACACAGAGCCGCTGATCTCGCTGGCAGCTTGGATGGCCTTCTTCACGTTTTCGTGGGCCGTGTATTTGAGTTCAGTGGACACCCTCAGGAGATTCTCTATCTCGCGCTGACAGTGGGCCAGGCTTTCTTTGAGTTTGCGGAGATTCTGGGCGACTTCTCTCATCTTACCGATGTGTTTGCGAAGTCTGTCGCTGTGTCTTTGGTTGATGCCTTCTGCGATTTTCAAGATGGCGGAGGCAGCGTCTGCAAAAATAAATAAAAAAATAAAACATTTATTTAAAAATTAAATCTATTAAAAAAAACTTATATAAGAATATAATTAAAAAAAAAACAAACTATTCGGCAAATCTAATGTTTATAAATTTTAAATGCGACTTTTTAGACAGGAAATATTTTAAATTAAAGAAGTGGCACTCATATAATTTGACAACTCTTCTTAAACACAAGGTATACGCTAAGATCCACTGTTTGATATAATCGTCAGCAGTCTCTAAAGAAAATTGCTGTTATTCATTAAACTCTTAACTAAAAGAAAAACAAAATTTACCACTAATCGTAATGTGTTTCTCTCTCCCGAACTGGTCCAGAACACGATTGAGCAGGGCTGGGTCATACTGCTGGGGCTGCAGGAGCAGGTCAAACAGCCTCCTCTCGTCGCTTGACCCAGCTTCTGCCTCAGGGGAGGGGAGGTTAACGTTCTGGGCGTCAAGGTCAATGTCCAAGTCGGGCTGCTCGCTGAAGGCGCCGTAGTCTTCAGTGGTCACCTGCAGATCAGAGAACTTGAGACCGGAGCCGCAGTCGCTGAAGATCCCCAGCAGACGTGAGCGGGTTTGGGCGAGCAGGTCGGAGAGTCTCCCCAGGATGTCTGACGTCATCTGTTTGTGTTGGGGGAGGTCGACCTTGATCTTCTTCGCTGCCTCGTGGATGGCGTGGAGACCTGTGGATGGAAGCAGAGTCAGTTGTACATGGTGGTACGTCACATCATTGTTGGGGGGGTGGGGGGAACCTGTGGATGGAAGTAGAGTCAGTTGTATATGGTGGTACGTCACATCATAGGGGGGGACCTGTGGATGGAAGCAGAGTCAGTTGTGTTTGGTGGTACGTCACATCATAGCTGGGGGGGGGGGACCTGTGGATGGAAGTAGAGTCAGTTGTATATGGTGGTACGTCACATCATAGTTGGGGGAGGGAACCTGTGGATGGAAGTAGAGTCAGTTGTACATGGTGGTACGTCACATCATAGCTGGGGGAGGGAACCTGTGGATGGAAGTAGAGTCAGTTGTACATGGTGGTACGTCACATATAGCTGGAGGGGGGGGGGGGGGACCTGTGGATGGAAGTAGAGTCAGTTGTACATGGTGGTACGTCACATCATAGCTGGGGGGATCCTGTGGATGGAAGCAGAGTCAGTCACGTCATAGCTGGGGGGGGGGAGCCTGTGGATGGAAGCAGAGTCAGCTGTACATGGTGGTACGTCACATCATAGCTGGGGGGGGGGACCTGTGAATGGAAGTAGAGTCAGTTGTACATGGTGGTACGTCACATCATAGCTGGGGGGGGACCCTGTGGATGGAAGTAGAGTCAGTTGTGTTTGGTGGTACGTCACATCATAGTTGGGGGGGGGGGGACCTGTGGATGGAAGTAGAGTCAGTTGTGTTTGGTGGTACGTCACATCATAGTTGGGGGGGGGGGACCTGTGGATGGAAGTAGAGTCAGTTGTGTTTGGTGGTACGTCACATCATAGTTGGGGGGGGGGCTGTGGATGGAAGTAGAGTCAGTTGTGTTTGGTGGTACGTCACATCATAGTTGGGGGAGGGAACCTATGGATGGAAGTAGAGTCAGTTGTACATGGTGGTACGTCACATCATAGCTGGGGGAGGGAACCTGTGGATGGAAGTAGAGTCAGTTGTACATGGTGGTACGTCACATATAGCTGGAGGGGGGGGGACCTGTGGATGGAAGTAGAGTCAGTTGTACATGGTGGTACGTCACATCATAGCTGGGGGGATCCTGTGGATGGAAGCAGAGTCAGTCACGTCATAGCTGGGGGGGGGGGCCTGTGGATGGAAGCAGAGTCAGCTGTACATGGTGGTACGTCACATCATAGCTGGGGGGGGGACCTGTGAATGGAAGTAGAGTCAGTTGTACATGGTGGTACGTCACATCATAGCTGGGGGGGACCCTGTGGATGGAAGTAGAGTCAGTTGTGTTTGGTGGTACGTCACATCATAGTTGGGGGGGGGACCTGTGGATGGAAGTAGAGTCAGTTGTGTTTGGTGGTACGTCACATCATAGTTGGGGGGGGGGGACCTGTGGATGGAAGTAGAGTCAGTTGTGTTTGGTGGTACGTCACATCATAGTTGGGGGGGGGGGCTGTGGATGGAAGTAGAGTCAGTTGTGTTTGGTGGTACGTCACATCATAGTTGGGGGGGGGGGACCTGTGGATGGAAGTAGAGTCAGTTGTGTTTGGTGGTACGTCACATCATAGTTGGGGGGGGGACCTGTGGATGGAAGTAGAGTCAGTTGTGTTTGGTGGTACGTCACATCATAGTTGGGGGGGGGGGACCTGTGGATGGAAGTAGAGTCAGTTGTGTTTGGTGGTACGTCACATCATAGTTGGGGGGGGGGGGTACGACCTGTGGATGGATGTATGGAAGCAGAGTCAGTTGTGTTTGGTGGTACGTCACATCATGGCTGGGGGGGGGGGGGGACTCTGTGGATGGAAGTAGAGTAAGTTGTGTTTGGTGGTACGTCACATCATAGTTGGGGGGGGGGGGGAACCTGTGGATGGAAGTAGAGTCAGTTGTGTTTGGTGGTACGTCACATCATAGCTGGGGGGATCCTGTGGATGGAAGCAGAGTCAGTTGTACATGGTGGTACGTCACATCATAGTTGGGGGGGGGGGCTGTGGATGGAAGTAGAGTCAGTTGTGTTTGGTGGTACGTCACATCATAGTTGGGGGGGGAACCTGTGGATGGAAGTAGAGTCAGTTGTGTTTGGTGGTACGTCACATCATAGTTGGGGGGGGGGGAACCTGTGGATGGAAGTAGAGTCAGTTGTGTTTGGTGGTACGTCACATCATAGTTGGGGGGGGGGGGGAACCTGTGGATGGAAGTAGAGTCAGTTGTGTTTGGTGGTACGTCACATCATAGTTGGGGGGGGGGAACCTGTGGATGGAAGTAGAGTCAGTTGTGTTTGGTGGTACGTCACATCATAGTTGGGGGGGGGGACCTGTGGATGGAAGTAGAGTCAGTTGTGTTTGGTGGTACGTCACATCATAGTTGGGGGGGGGGGGACCTGTGGATGGAAGTAGAGTCAGTTGTGTTTGGTGGTACGTCACATAATAGCTGGGGGGTGGGGGTGGGTGGGGGTAACCTGTGGATTCAAGTAGAGTCAGCTGTACATGGTGGTACGTCACATCATAGCTGGGGGGGAACATGTGGATGGAAGTAGAGTCACGCCATAGATGGTCGTTATAGCTGTGTTGCGATGGGGTGGGGTGGTGTGGGGACCTGTGAATGGAAGCAGTCAGCTGTATATGGTGGTACGTCACATCATAGCTGGTCATTATAGTTGGGGGTGGGGTGGGGGTGATCATCTGAGGAATAAACTACTTTTGAAAGAAAAAAAAAGTCATCCGATTTCATTTTTTTACTACAAATACCTAATTTTAAAAAATTATATTTAATTAATAAAATTTATAATAATTATTTTTCAAAGACCAATAGTTAATAGCCTTGTAAAAATAAAGCACTATTTTGAATCAAAATTTCTTAGGGTAGATCTAGTATAGGTAACATGTTTGTATGATCTCGGTTTATGACAGGATTGTGAGATCAGCACTTGGCCTAGAAACATTTACTTTTTCTTGACTAGAGTCAAGTATCCATCAGAGCTGGTGAACTCAACAACATTCTACGGCCTCAGGCTGTGTCTAGATGTGACTCCATATAAGTTGTGTCTAGGTGTGACTCCATAGAAAGCTGAAAGAAGATGTGACTCCACATACGACGGACTCACCTAGGGGGATCTCCTTGAGACTCTCAATGATCCTGTCGACGCCCCTGTCTGTGGCGTTGTTGAGGATTTCCCTCTTCCAGCTCAGTGGCTGCACGAGTGCACCAAAAAACTTGAGCGTTTCTGGTGTTGAGAAAACGAAACAAATAAAGTAACTTATAAAACTGCAAAAAAACAATGGGCTGCTTATAAAATATGGAAACATTTTTTTTAAATAAAATTTCATGAGGTTAATTATAAAACAACACATGTATTCAATTTAAAGTTTTCTTTTCTGAACCATAATAATCGTTTTTTGTTTTTAATTTTTTTATTCAATGCGTACACATTGCTCCAGCTAACAGGACTGAAGCAGACAATAGACAAGGCTCACCATCTCCAGATAAAGCATCCTGGCTGTGGACTGAAGACATCAGACACAGCAGAAGACAGGAGGACAAGCTCAGAAGATACATCTTGTTTGGGGATTTGGTCTGAAAAGTTGCATCAGTTACATCCTGTTTAAAATCTGGCAACTTTCATTTTCACTGGTCTGGTTACACCTATCTCAATTACTTAAGTATTTTTTTTTATTAATGTTATTTATTATGTAAGGGGTGGGCGTGGTCGAATGGTAGAGCTTATAACTGCTAACTCGAAAGTTTCGAGTTCGGATACCTGGCTCGAGTCCATGAGTCCACCCAGCTCTGATGGGTACCTGACTCACGTTGACGAAACAAAGGCGGCTGGGCATAGAGCTGGCCACACTATCCCCAACCCCATATCTGCCCCATATGTCTTGGGCACAAACGGGAAAAGATGATGATTTTCTAAATAATACAAATAAATCCATTGGTTTTTCAATTTGTGATTAAGATTACATCACTGTTTTATCATTTTATTCCGACACTGTTTATCACATAAAACCCGCCAAACAAATTGTATCACTAACATATGACTACCATACAATGTTTAAAGACATTTAGATTAATATTAAAAACCTCTTGGATATACAACAAGAGAAATCAAATATACACAGGCTACAACAGTAATTGTAGCCTTTGCTTAAAGGAAGACGCTCTGATACGCCTGCCTACCTTAGATTTGAAGAGATTAGGTACCAGGTACCGGACTATCAGACGAAAGGTGCTGTAGGTTTACTACCGGCCAGGTGTGGTCTCGGGCTAGAGGTGGACTGTCGGATCAGATGTGGACAGGTGAGACCGCGTCAGGTGAGACCGCGTCAGGTGTGAGGTGTCGTCAGGTGTGAAGTGTCGTCAGGTGTGAGGTGTCGTCAGGTGAACGTGCGAACAGCTCCACTGCCGGGCAGGAGATGAGACGATGCCAGCCTTGAAGGTCACGTGACGACCGTCTAGCCTGATGTTGAGGCCATAGTCCACCGCGTCATTAAAACGTCAAAACGTGTTAATGACTTTCAACCCCTTTAGCAGAGTTCGGTTATTAGCCAGAGTGTTAGAGGGTGATAGAAGTCCTGAACACTGTTGTAACATCTCATTGTCATTATAAAATAGACGGTCTTTAGGTACCCTAAACTGTTGTAACATCTCATTGTCCTTATAAAATAGACGGTCTTTAGGTACCCTAAATTGTTTTAACATCTCATTGTCCTTATAAAATAGACGGTCTTTAGGTACCCTAAATTGTTGTAACATCTCATTGTCGTTATAAAATAGCAGTTCTTTAGGTACCCTAAATTGTTGTAATATTTTCTCATTGCTGTTATTAAATAAACGAATCTTATGTACCTTAAATTGTTGGAACATTTCTTATTGACTTTATTAAATAGACGATCCTTAAGTACCCTAAATTGTCTGTACGTATTTTGAAACAGCACACACCAAGACTAAGACGCCTGATCTTATGCCGGGTACTCATTTATACTGGATGAGCTCAGGGATATCATATAGGCCTAAATCTGGTCATGTTCAGCAGTAGCATATGAACATATAGACTGGGATCTAACATTCTTCCAATGATCGCCTGATCCCATTTGATATTGTAAACACTGTCAAATGCACATAGTAGAGCCCCTTATCCCCCCAACACCCACCCTTAAGGTAACCATTGTTGCTGGCTTATTTTATGCTTAGGCTATAGAGGAAGCCAGTTTTTCAATAAAACGAATAACAAGAGATGATCATTAGCACCCGTGGGGTAATTAGATAATTAACCCGTTAGCGCGATATTCGTGTCACCTGCCTATCGGCTAGTGATGAAAGCTGGGTCTGGTTCCATGCTGGCAATGTTGCTGCTTGCCAGGCTAGACAATTAACATGGTCATCAACATTACAATACTTGCTCCTCAGGGTGGGGGGGGGGGGGGGGGGTGGCCAGTCTAGACAATTAACATGGTCATCAACATCACAATGCTTGCTCCTCAGGGTGGGGGGGGGGGGGGGGGTGGCCAGTCTAGACAATTAACATGGTCATCAACATTACAATACTTGCTCCTCAGGGTGGGGGGGGGGGGGGGGGGGTGGCCAGTCTAGACAATTAACATGGTCATCAACATCACAATGCTTGCTCCTCAGGGTGGGGGTGTGGGGGGGGGATGGCCAGTCTAGACAATTAACATGGTCATCAACATTACAATACTTGCTCCTCAGGGTGGGGGTGGGGGGTGGCCAGGCTAGACAATTAACATGGTCATCAATATTACAATACTTGCTCATCAGGGTGGGGGTGTGTGTGTGGGGGGGGTGGCCAGTCTAGACAATTAACATGGTCATCAACATTACAATACTTGCTCCTCAGGGTGGGGGTGTGGGGGGGGGGGGGGTGGCCAGTCTAGACAATTAACATGGTCATCAACAATTACGATACTTGCTCCTCAGTGTGGGGGGGGGGGGGGTGGCCAGTCTAGACAATTAACATGGTCATCAACATTACAATACTTGCTCCTCAGGATGGGGTGTGGGGGGGGGGTGGCCAGTCTAGACAATTAACATGGTCATCAACATTACAATACTTGCTCCTCAGGGTGGGGGTGTGGGGGGGGGTGGCCAGTCTAGACAATTAACATGGTCATCAACATTACAATACTTGCTCCTCAGGGTGGGGGTGTGGGGGGGGGTGGCCAGTCTAGACAATTAACATGGTCATCAACATTAAAATACTTGCTCCTCAGGGTGGGGGGGGGGGGGTGGCCAGTCTAGACAATTAACATGGTCATCAACATTAAAATACTTGCTCCTCAGGGTGGGGGTGTGGGGGGGGGGGTGGCCAGTCTAGACAATTAACATGGTCATCAACATTACAATACTTGCTCCTCAGGATGGGGGTGTGGGGGGGGGGGGGGTGGCCAGTCTAGACAATTAACATGGTCATCAACATTACAATACTTGCTCCTCAGGGTGGGGGTGTGGGGGGGGGGTGGCCAGTCTAGACAATTAACATGGTCATCAACATTACAATACTTGCTCCTCAGGATGGGGTGTGGGGAGGGGGGGGGGGCCAGTCTAGACAATTAACATGGTCATCAACATTACAATACTTGCTCCTCAGGATGGGGGTGTGGGGGGGGGGGGGGTGGCCAGTCTAGACAATTAACATGGTCATCAACATTACAATACTTGCTCCTCAGGGTGGGGGTGGGGGTGGGGGGGGGGTGGCCAGTCTAGACAATTAACATGGTCATCAACATTACAATACTTGCTCCTCAGGGCGGGGGGGGGGGTGGCCAGTCTAGACAATTAACATGGTCATCAACATTAAAATACTTGCTCCTCAGGGTGGGGGTGTGGGGGGGGGGGTGGCCAGTCTAGACAATTAACATGGTCATCAACATTACAATACTTGCTCCTCAGGATGGGGGTGTGGGGGGGGGGTGGCCAGTCTAGACAATTAACATGGTCATCAACATTACAATACTTGCTCCTCAGGGTGGGGGTGGGGGTGGGGGTGGGGGGGTGGCCAGTCTAGACAATTAACATGGTCATCAACATTACAATACTTGCTCCTCAGGGTGGGGGGTGGGGGGGGGTGGCCAGTCTAGACAATTAACATGGTCATCAACATTACAATACTTGCTCCTCAGGGTGGGGGTGGTGGTGGGGGGGGGGTGGCCAGTCTAGACAATTAACATGGTCATCAACATTACAATACTTGCTCTTCAGGGTGGGGGTGTGGGGGGGGGGGGGTGGCCAGTCTAGACAATTAACATGGTCATCAACATTACAATACTTGCTCCTCAGGGTGGAGGTGTGGGGGGGGGGGGTGGCCAGTAGACAATTAACATGGTCATCAACATTACAATACTTGCTCCTCAGGGTGGGGGTGTGGGGTGGGGTGGCCAGTAGACAATTAACATGGTCATCAACATTACAATACTTGCTCCTCAGGGTGGGGTGTGGGGGGGGGGGGGTGGCCAGTCTAGACAATTAACATGGTCATCAACATTACAATACTTGCTCCTCAGGGCGGGGGGGGGGGGTGGCCAGTCTAGACAATTAACATGGTCATCAACATTAAAATACTTGCTCCTTAGGGTGGGGGTGTGGGGGGGGTGGCCAGTCTAGACAATTAACATGGTCATCAACATTACAATACTTGCTCCTCAGGGTGGGGTGTGGGGGGGGGGGGTGGCCAGTAGACAATTAACATGGTCATCAACATTACAATACTTGCTCCTCAGGGTGGGGTGTGGGGGGGGGGGGGGTGGCCAGTCTAGACAATTAACATGGTCATCAACATTACAATACTTGCTCCTCAGGGTGGGGTGTGGGGGGGGGTGGCCAGTCTAGACAATTAACATGGTCATCAACATTACAATACTTGCTCCTCAGGGTGGGGGTGGGGGTGGGGGGGGGGGGTGGCCAGTCTAGACAATTAACATGGTCATCAACATTACAATACTTGCTCCTCAGGGTGGGGGGTGGGGGGGGGGGTGGCCAGTCTAGACAATTAACATGGTCATCAACATTACAATACTTGCTCCTCAGGGTGGGGGTGGTGGTGGGGGGGGGTGGCCAGTCTAGACAATTAACATGGTCATCAACATTACAATACTTGCTCCTCAGGGTGGGGGTGGGGGTGGGGGGGGGTGGCCAGTCTAGACAATTAACATGGTCATCAACATTACAATACTTGCTCCTCAGGGTGGGGGGGGGGGGGTGGCCAGTCTAGACAATTAACATGGTCATCAACATTACAATACTTGCTCCTCAGGGTGGGGTGGGGGGGGGGTGGGGGGGGGGTGGCCAGTCTAGACAATTAACATGGTCATCAACATTACAATACTTGCTCCTCAGGGTGGGGGGTAGGGGGGGGTGGCCAGTCTAGACAATTAACATGGTCATCAACATTACAATACTTGCTCCTCAGGGTGGGGGTGTGGGGGGGGGGGTGGCCAGTCTAGACAATTAACATGGTCATCAACATTAAAATACTTGCTCCTCAGGGTGGGGGGGGGGGGGTGGCCAGTCTAGACAATTAACATGGTCATCAACATTACAATACTTGCTCCTCAGGATGGGGTGTGGGGGGGGGGGGGGGTGGCCAGTCTAGACAATTAACATGGTCATCAACATTACAATACTTGCTCCTCAGGGTGGGGGGTGGGGGGGGTGGCCAGTCTAGACAATTAACATGGTCATCAACATTACAATACTTGCTCCTCAGGGTGGGGGGTGGGGGGGTGGCCAGTCTAGACAATTAACATGGTCATCAACATTACAATACTTGCTCCTCAGGGTGGGTGTGCGGGGGGGGGGTGGCCAGTCTAGACAATTAACATGGTCATCAACATTACAATACTTGCTCCTCAGGGTGGGTGGGGGGGTGGCCAGTCTAGACAATTAACATGGTCATCAACATTACAATACTTGCTCCTCAGGATGGTGGTGGGGGGGGGGGGGGGGGTAGGCTGGTGGAAGTAAGAGGAGGGACAGTTAGTCGCTAATAAGTTGTGAATCAAGAATCATTTAATCATGTGGTTTAAACAATAACGTACCAACAACTATAATTATTATTCAGCAGGTCCACCTGGGGGCCCACAAATATTTGTGCACTCCTCCTCCACCCACCCTCCCCCTTTCCCGTGGAGATGTCTAAGCTATGGTTTCTAAATGCTTTAGGACACGATTTATATGGTCATGTACACGTCACTACAACTGAAAGATTCTAGAAGGGTGCATAAGGGTGATATTTTCCATTCTGGTAATACGTGTCTTTAAGATTCTAGAACCTTATCTAGCGTTATGGCATTAACATC